TTGCAAATAAGGGAAACCATGGGACCTATGTTTCTTTGGGCCTAGTTTACATCACTTAATATTATTTTTTTCCAAGTCTTTCCATTTCCTAACAAATGGGGCAATGTCATTATACTAAAGCTACCAGCACAACTATGTTTATTGCAGCATTATTTACCATAGCTAAGATATGGAACCAACCCAGATGCTCCTCAGTAGCTTTTTTATTTTTTTAACTGTATTTTTTGTCTTTTCTCTTTGGTGCTGGGATTGAGGGGCGGACGCCAAGCTTGCTAGGCAAGCGCTTTGCCACAGAGCCACACCCCAGCCCCATACCCCAGAGATGTGCATCTCTGCGGAAACAGAATACAATTCAATTCGTTCAGTCTGCAGAACCATACAAAGAGAGCTTTCCTTTCTCTTTTCCTTTTAGTAATAATACAATACAGGTGACATAAAACACACTCTCTTGTCCATTATAAGTGTCCAGTTCTGGGAAAATACCTGCATTCATGCTGTGCGGCTGATCTCCAAAACCCTTCTCGCAAAGCTGAGTTTATATAACCACTCACTAATGCAATTCCCACTTACCCAGCCTTTGGCAAGCACCATTCCACTTCTCATCTCTGATCTTGACTATTCTAGGGTTCTGATGTAAGTGGGATTATGCTGACATTCCCCTTTGTGAGTGGCTTATTTCACTGACCAAAATATTCCCGAGGTTCATCCATGTGGTAGCACACATGGATGGTGTGGCCTGGTCCTTTCCAAGCCACATGCCACCCCTTTGCACTTAATTGCTACATTTCATCTCCCCTTGGTCTGTGGTAGCCACGGGTGTTACCATCTTCTCACTATTGCGATTAACGCTGCCTTGAACATGGTAGACAAGTATCTCTTAGAGATCTGACTCTACTTCTTTTGAGGATGGATTGGACGCTGAATCATACTGTTGGGGGCAATTTTCATGCTTTGTCTCCATAGTATCTGCACCATCTTATGTTCACACTGACAAAATGTGAGGGTGTTTTTTTCACATACATGTTCTGGCCAGTTATTGTTATTTTTTTGTTTGAATGGCCATCCATAGAAGTGAGGTGCTTCTTTTCTTTTTTATAATATATAATATAAATATATATGTATAATGTATTGTATATAATATGTTGTATGTAATACATATATTTGATATATTATATATAGCCTCTATATATTATTATACATATTATATGGTTACACCAAAATAATGAACAATGAACTAACAAATACTAACTCCAGTCTCTTGGGGAAGAGCTTTCTAATCTTTCTTCAAAGCTTTTGGGTCCGGTCTGTTTGTTGAGTTCTCTTTGCAGGTTTCCATTTCCACCTACATTCTTTCCATCAGTACTTCTCTGAAACCTGGATAAAATGAAGCCACTTTCTCTTCCATTTATTTTCTTTTGTGATGAGTCTGCTAGCCATTTCAGAAAGGCCTTCAGTCTTTCCACATTAAAGTCAAAATGGAGACGTAGGGGTAAAATCTTTGTCGCCAAGGGTAAGGAAGCACCTGCTAAGAATTTGCACACAAAATGACTAAGGCCTTTATTAAGAAAGCATTTTGAATCTTTTGAAAGTGCCAGTATTGTTGACTTGACATAATTTGAATTTTTAAAAACCTGGGAAGCAGGCCTTGGCACCCCCCCTTTCAAACTCTTCACAGCCAAGAGTCAGCCGCCTAGACGTCTCTAGGCCCTCGTGATTAGTCCACACCTCCCTCTCCACACAGGCATACTTCCTCCATTTGAGAACATTCCCCTTTGGCTTCTTGTCAGCTGTGCCTGAACCAAGAGTTCTGAGACAGTAAGAGTGCCCCCTCCACTCCCAGCCAGCCAAGTTCTTCAACGCTCTGATTTCCTCATCTGAGAAAGAGGGATAAAGCTGCCTGGCTGAGAGACTGTTGTGATTCAGTGAACAATGAATATACACAGCATCAGTATGATGTCTCTGGTAGATTGTAAGGCCTGGTCTGACTAGGAAAGCCCAAGCCCATCTGGAACTTGCAATCCTCCCTTCTCAGCCTTCCTAGTACTGGGATTAATAGATGTGTACCACCATGCCCCTCCTTTGCATGCTACCCATGTAACAAGCATTTAAATGAATAACTCATGTATCATATATAGAAATAAGACTGGTAGATTGTCATTATCTGAAATTAGAATGATGAATGCACTTAGAATACTCTTAGAATGTAGTTTCATAACTTTTTTTGAAGTTTTTAAGACCTTTCAAAATTATACTGGAAAAAAATCTTTAAGAAATCAAATATACATCCTGACCACTATAATAAAAATATACCATGTAATTGAAAATTGCTAAAGAACATCTTATATGCTTTTACCATGGAAAGTTCATGGCATAATGCATGTTGGTTTATCTATCCTACATTGCATAATTAGATCAATGTACACTGAATCATAAGTAGATCTAATTTTTTGTTGATTAGAGAAAAATCATTGTATTAAGTACTTCAGGTTTTTCCACAGGAATGAGCTGGGTTTTGTTTTTTGTTCAAATCTATTTTTCAAGAAACATTTCTAGGGCTCGGGGTGCTGCTCAGTGGTAGGACACATACTTAGTGGTTAGGCAGCCCTGGCTTCAAAACCCGGCACCAAAAGGATTGTTTTAAGGAAAGAATAAAGGAAGGACAGGAGAGAGGAAGGACAGGAGGGAGGGAGGAAGGGAGGACAAGAAACATTTCCAAGTTTTTGTATGGAACTTCTATATCCACCTTTGCATAGTATAAACTGGTCTAGCACAAAAACTTTCTCTAGCGTAGTGTTTGTATACATGAGTATGCAGATATGTGTGCTGTATACATGCACAAATATTAAATGCTTCACAAGAAAATGATGAAATGTCTTTATGTTTGCAAAAGCTTTCACAAGTATTTTTGAAAGATTATTTATGACTGAGGTTCTAGGGACCAAAACCAGGGCCTCCGTAGGTAGGAAGCGCTCCACCATTGAGTGATTTCCCTGACCTTATTTTGATTTTTTTACATTCACAGAACCTCACCACTGTAGCAGGAGCAGCATTAGTTATCCTGGTTTCACAGGTGAGGTTTGGGAAAGTATATGTCTTTCCCAAGATTATGGAGATGGTAAATCACAGAGACAGAATTCAGACCCAGGCCTTCGGTTCCCAAGTCTCAGACTGCCTCACACGCATCTTACTGGCTCTTCTGTCTACCCCAGGATCCTACAGTGCTGCTGGAAAAGAATGAATGGAACAACAAAATGTAGAAGTCTGAAGGCCCAAATCCTTTTTTGGCATTTTCAAGAGTAATGGCAAACACTGACGTATCATGCTCAAAGTCTAACAAGTTGCAGGGAGGATTAGGAGAATCTGAGTTGCTTCTGAATTTGTAGGTGTCGTCTTTAAAACAAGAAATCAGTTCAACACATTCCACATCCTCACTTTCTTAAACATGGTTATTATTAAATCCTCAATCTTCAATTTGTATTTTCTCTCCTGAGTCACAGATTTATAGTTTAAGCATACTTCATCCTGTGTATACCCTTTACTAAAAAATAATTCAGTACATGCATGCTATACTTTTAATTCCTACACTATAAGTATTTAGAAATAATGTAGTGTCTATCTAATATGGTGGTTTAAAAGGAACAAAGAGACTCAGTGTGAAAAAGGATAGAGAAGAGGAAAGAAAAAGAAGGAAAGAAGAAGAGAATGGGAGAAAAGGAGGGAGAGAGGGAAGGGAAAAAAGAAAGGAGAGAGGGAGGGAAGGAAAGAAAGAAAAGAAAGAAAAAGAAAGAGCGAGAGAGAGAGAGAGAGAGAGAGAGAGAGAGAGGGAAGGAGGAAGGAAAGGAAAGATAGGATAGGATTAGTCTGGACATATATCCATATAGCAAACCTATTTCTATTCTTTAGGACTTATTGAACAAAATCTCAGGAGCCAAAATTAGAGCAGTCCTCCTCTAATGCAAACTATATTTAAGGAACAAAAAGAATGCATAATTGCTCCTACACCAGAGAATTAATCTCTAAAAATAACAATTGCCATATTCTAATTCCGTATATTGCATATATAAGCAACCACAGTTACGTGCTTCAAAACTAAAATGCCCTTGCTCTTGCTAATGATAAAAGACAAATTTTCCAAAAAGTGAAATTCTTGAAGAAACTATAGATCAAACTTCTAAATATTTTTGAAGAATCTGCATTACTATGTAATATTTTAGATGTGTATATATGTTAATGAGTGTATATACTAAAATAAAATATAAGCATGTATATATGTGTATTTTATTTTGGGGACATAGGAAAACAAGCACAAAATGATGTTTATGTTTTGATTATAACCATGTTTTGATTATAACCATGTATCTGGACAAAAACTTAAAATGAAAATAGTAAAGTTGAAAGACACTTTCCTAAAAAAAAAAAAAAGAAAGAAAGACACTTTCCTTTTTTTGAATTACTTCACAGTGTATTATTGGAAACACAAATAAGGACTGGAGATGTAGCTCAGTAGTAGAACACTTCGATAGCATGTTCATGGTCCTAGATTCTATTGCTAGCAACACACACACACACACACACACACACACACACACACACACACACACACACACACACACACACACACACACACACACACACACACACACACACACACGGAACAAAAATCTGAAAGCTCCCTTCGGCACTGTGTAAAATCCTGTAGAAAAACAGTGGGTTGCTCTCTGACCTAATTAAAATGGGTGCTGAAAATACTGAGGTCTGAGCAGAGTTTCCTAAACACGGTCTTTGATTTTGTACCCACAGACAAAGTTCAAAATAACGAGCAAGACTCATTGCAGGCCAAGAACTATCACTGATGTCATCTTAAAACAATACAGATATACTTAAATTCACGTATCTGTTAGGTCATCATGGTTTCAAACACCATATCTTTAAATCATTTGGATCCCAAATGGAAACTAAAATTGCGTGAGAAGGGAAAATAACACACAGGAGGAGATTCATCATTTTTGTAAGTCTTTATTTTTTACTTGCTCTTCCCATAGGAATGCACGGAAAGGCATAACAGTTTATATTGTACAAAGCATTTGAAGAAAGTACCTCAACTTGCCGATTATTTCAAAATGAGATTACAAACAAACAACAACAACAAAAAGAAAAGAAAACAAATCTGGTTTCTCAGTAAGGGCGAGAGAACTGGATACAGTCTGTTATTCTCTTTTTAACATAAGGTCGGGGACACTTCATTTTACAAATAGGGTTGCCATGAACATAACATCGCACAAGCTTGCAGACGATCAGCATAAAATATGGGGTACAGGTTTTTTTTTTAATCAGAAGAATCATGCTTTCATGAAAGAAAATTATAGTCGTTTATACAATTGAATCGATTTCAGTATTACAAAAACTAAGTCGCATCTATTCATATTTATTTCATTAAGAAGGAAAACAAAAACAACAACAACCAAAAAAAAAAAAAAAAAGGAATGTTAAGAAAAGCCAAACACCAGGCCGTGTCACCCGCGCCCTTCCACTCATCGAGGGCGGGCCTGGGACATTGTAAAATAGTGGCTGATTGGAACAGTGCTATTTTAATCAACAAACAATAGTTTGCCAACAAATAAATACATGATACACACAACACAAAGAAAGGAATTTAGAACATTAAAAAAAAAAACAGTGACATGATTGTCTAAAATTAAGATGTTATGACAAGGATTTGGCAAATGTTTTATTAGTGGTATGGTGACGAGCAGGCTACTTCATCGATTAATCTCTTGGAGCCTGACCTTCCGTAGTGTCCACCTTCTCTTCTCCCTCGTTTGAAACAATGTAGTGAAGAAGGCCAAAGTCAAGGAGGTAGGGGAGGGGGGTACGAGTACTCGTGGTATCAGTTTCTATCATCACTGACTGTGCATTTCATCCAACTACCTCCATTTTCAAAAGGTTAAGTTACATAAAATTTTAACAAAGGAAAAAAAAACATTAAAACTGCAATTTAAAGCAACTGTTCCCAATCAGGTCAGGTGACCTTATACAAAGAAGGACTCCTTGCCTACCCGTAGGGTCATCCCTACAGCCCCTCTCAGCCCCCCAACACCCAAGCATGGAGTGAACTTCCGCCCAGTGGTTTGTTTTTATTGAATCCTTTTAGTCAAATTGATCCTGCAGAAGTTAGCAGCTGCCTTTGCTGTGCAAAACGAGAATATCGAGAATAAATAGTTTTCCTTTCTTTTCTTTCTCCTTTCTCTTTCTTTCTTTCTTTCTTTTTCTTTTCTTTTTCGTTCATCATTCAGTTTAAGGTCATCAGACTTTTTAATGAATGACCCTCGGGTTTCTAAGGCATTCTGCTCAGCAGTCTGGTTAGGAGCCCACGTGAACGAGCCATGCTACCGCTGGACTTGGTCCCGCTCTGGTTGAACCCTGACAGCGTCATACGTGGCTAATGGACTGGATGGCACTGGCTTCCGCCCCAGCCCTCGCCATGCTGTGCCACATGCTGGAGGAACTGTGGGATGTGGAATGAAGAGAATCCTTGTCAGACAATGACAGCATCATAGCATACGCCTGCGGTGGAAAGGAAAGACGCCGTGAGTGCCATTGGAAAAAGAGCAATTTTCATTTGAAAAATACTGTTGAAGAATGTCGCAATGAGCTAGGACTCTGAATAGGAGCTTATGGCCTGGCTGAGTTTAATAAAGGGTATATATTTGGTTTGGTATATATATGTACATGGTATATGTATGGTATATATATGTATATATACATATATATATACATATATATACCATATATACATATGTGTGTGTGTATCTTTCTTACTGTTGTTAGAGTAACATGCAGTTGCTGCTGACTTTCAGTTCCTGGGGGTTTCAAAAGTGACACATCCTACAAAATGAGACAAAAAATAATAATCATCTGATCGAAGCATCGATAGCACTTCTGTTGGGAAAAAGTCACCTTCCTGTCTGACCATAAGTAAATGTACATAGGCTCAGCTCACCAGCAATGCTTCTGCATGCTTATGAGTGAACATACACACATTCACAGAATATAGACCTGTCCTGACAGAGCTCTGACTCCTGTACTTTGTCTCTGAGCATTGGAAGTAAAAATCACCTCCCCAAAGTCACCAAATTATGCGGAACCGAAGCTGATTTCTGCCCAACTTTTCTCGCCTTCTCCATGCTTGAAACACCCGCTGCTGACACCCAGAGACCTCGAGCATTGAGTTGTAGCAAATTAGTCACGCCAAAACCAAACAAAGTACAGACCCAGCAATGTCCTATGCGAAGTGTGGTCTGCCCGGCCCCCCTCTTTCGCAGTAGAAGGTGCTCTTCCTTGCTTATTACCATGTCAAGCTCTAAATCACTGTTCCATGGATCCTCCTTCTACAGCCAAGGAAAATATTCAAATGAAATGTTTGGTCCTGACTTGCGAGTGAACTTTTCACTGCTGATTTGCTGTCGTGGGGCTCATCCATTGCTAAACTTGCTTGTCAAAATGCTGTTGAAGTGGAATCATTGCATTCCTGCCAAAGACATTCCACTGTCTGTAAACAAAGGCAGAATGCCTCTGTTGTTGGGCAGAATTTCATCTCTGGGAGTCGTGCTGAGGCATGTGGCCGGGTCTGTGGTTTCTGTTGTCGTCCTGGCATTGGGGCAGAAGCTCTGCCCCCACAGGCTCGTTTGGATTTGCTGGGTCATTGCTCTGCATGTATACATTTGACTTTTATGTACGCAATTGGTCTTCTGGACCTGAACACGATCACCTAGCTACTTCACGAATGATAGTGCTTTAGCATGTGCTCTGTGTTTGGGCCCAAGAATCCACGTCACAGCAGAACATAGGAGTCCTGATCCTTTGTAGTGTTGAAAATGAGGATTACATGAGGATTGAACTTCCATTATCCTTTCTGCTTATGTACCCACTTTTACAGATCAAAAGCCAAAGGCATTACAAAATGATCTTAGCAAAACTCATCCCAATATATGTAAAAATGAATAGAGGTATAAAGAAAATTCTTTAGCCCATTTTTACAGATCAAAAGCCAAAGGCATTATAAAATGATCTTAGCAAAACTCATCCCAATATATGTCAAAATACATAGAGGTATAAAGAAAATTCTTTAGCCTAAAGTGAGTCCTGGTCTCTAACCTTCTTGTCTTTTTCTTGTTGTAGTTTCTAATCAAAAACGCCTCAGTGTGACTCCACCAACAGTGTCTATTATGATATTAATTTTTGTAGCACAGGGCTTTTTAAAGATAAAACTCCATGCAGAACAAAGCCTCTGTTGTACTCATCAATGATTTGGATTCAATTGTTCTAAAAATCAGAGAGTAAATATATAAATGCTGTGAGTGAAGTATCTGAACCTTCAAATTCTAGAAAATGGCAAGTATAGAATACTTGCCTGAACTCTGAGAGTTTAGATCCAGAGTTCAAGCCCCAGGACAGGAAAAATAAAAAAGCTTAATTAAAAGGCAGATTCTGGGGCCAGGTGCTGATGGCTCACACCTATAATCCTAGCTACTCAAGAGGTTGAGACCTGAGGATTACAGTTCAAAGCCATCCCAGGTAAAAGCATTTGTGAGAATCTTATCTCCAATTAAACACCAAAAGAGCCAGAAGTAAAGCTGTGATTCAAGTGGTACAGTGCTAATGTTGAGCAAAGAAAGCTCAGGGACAGCATCCAGGCTCTGAGTTCAAGCCCCAAGACCAGCACAAAAACAAAGCCAAAGCCAAACAACAACAACAACAAAAGCAGATTGTGCACAAAGATCAGAGCCCAGTATATAACTGACAGAAAACCACTGAATAGGTGGAGTCTCACAATAATGCCAATTTGCATAAAACCTCCACATTTACAAACAAATGTGGAAGTAACAAGAAAAATAAGAACTAGGATTATAAAATACATCTATTTTTTTCTTGATGCTTACTGTAAACCCGGCTTGGCAGGGATACCATGTCAAAAAACCCTACTGAGCTGTGTTTCACACCTCTTCTCTCTGGATTCTCGGGCCCTTTTGCTTTGTATCAGATCTGACAGTGTCTGAAGCTTCTAGGTATTATGTGCTACAATGAAAAGTACTAAATAACTAAAACAACTTTAAGAGAGAAAACACTGATCTCTGATCAGCTAAGAAAGAGAAATGGAAAGTCAAGGATTTTTTTTTAAATGGCCACATTTTATGGATGTCTGTTTGCTTTAAAAAAAAAAAAGAAAAGGTCATTATTCCGGTGAGTCGTAGGAATGAAAGAGATAGCTCTCAACTGCTTCTCTAGCAATGAGGAAATGGCCATCCACAGCCTGTAAGAAATGTCCCCAAATCACCTGAGCTACGTTCCATACTTCCAAGACTCATGGCCTTTTCACAACTAATATTAAGTACCATGCATAATATCTTGTAATCTCTATTATGTTGAAAGTTATTTAAAGAGTTATATTATTCTCCGCCTTGGTTGACACACTGTTTGCTCTGAAGATCAACCCAGAACAACGGACAAATATGAAATACTTTCTAAATGTACAACTTACTATGCTTGCATTGATATGTCAGGCCACCTCCAAAATAGCCTAAGTGGATCAAACAATTTGGCCAATGTGTTTAAGATATAATCATAAGGGGTTTCTTCTCTTTTTAGTCGACCTGAATTTGGTGGAATGGAGACACCAGAAAGAAAGTGCTGACTTGGTTTATTTTGAGGCTCTTTGGATTGGAATATGTGAATCCTAAAATAGATTCACTTTTAATTGTTGTATTGTGTGTGGAATGCTGCAGACCTCAATGAATTTGGGTTTCATCCATTCATTCCATAAAGTGAATTTTATTTTCAGATTTGCCAACAAGTTGGTGCAGATCTTATGAACTCATTTCATTTCTGATCTTTACTCCTACATTCTATAATAGGATGAATTACTAATGAACAACACATAAACATTCTCTATAGCAGCTAGGTGCTGGTGGCTCACCCCTGTGATCCTAGCTACTCAGGAGGCTAAAATCTGAGGATCACAGTTCAAAGCCAGCTCAGGCAAGAAAGTCTGTGAGACTCCTATCTCCATTTAACCACCAGAAAACCAGAAATGGTGCTATAACTCAAAGTGGAGTCCTAGCCTTGAGTGAAAGAGCTCAGGAATAGCACACAGGCCCAGCCCCACAACCAATATCGGCAAAAAAAAAAAAAAAATCAATATAGCATAGGAAAAAATAGAATTCACTTTTCAAAAATCTTAACACATAGTTGGGTAGATGAAAATAAGCCACATAAAATGCCATTAGAAAATTCTGGAATAACACATAAATCTTTGAAAACAAACCTTGTGGACGATACAGAGGAAATGTAAGAAAAACGTAAGATGAAGGAGAGATTAGTACAGGATAGGGCATGTCACAGAAGTGACACTGTGTGCCAAATGCAGCTGAATCTATTGCTATATTGGTTATCTCTTTGAATCAGAATAATGACAAGAACACTGTGGGCAAAGCAGCTAAATTTGCTTGGATTCTAGAATATTCTAGATTACTCTAGAATATTCTGGAATATCTTCTTTTGTTCATCCAAGCAATGTACACTTTCATGCACAATGTCATCATGATGCTATACTGCAGCAAAACATGTACCTGTGATTTAGACTTTCTGTGTAACGGCTGTTTAAGTTCCTCTGGTACATGGGAAGTACTAAAAGAAGACAGCTCGGCTTCAGTATATTGATTATCTTCCATTTTCCTCATTTTGAGGCTATCTGTGAAGTGCCTTATATGATCTAGAGCAGAAAGTCCAGATTTATATTCTTCCTCTTTATACCTAAAATGAACCAATGGAAAAGCACAGATTTTTTTTTCTTTTCTGGTTTGTAACCTAATCAAATCACTTTCATATGAATCTAAACAGCTGACAAACTTCACACTGTCTGTGCTGTGTCAAAGCAACATGCACCACTTGTTAGATTTTTAAAATATTCACAAATATCACATACTATAATCTGTTGCTCTTCATATTTTAATAACTAAAGTATGAATTTGCGATAAAGTCTCTGACATCTTAAGTCAGAAATGTGTGGAAACAAATTCATACACTTCAAGTTTCCCTTTACAGTAAACCTAGCTGTGGAAAAAATCAGCCCACATTTTCCTCAGAAAAAAACAAAATAGACCCACAGTTTGGTCAATTTTTTTCCCATTTAAAAATGCTCATCTCTATCAGTTGCTCTATGGGGCTGATGGGCACACCACATTATTGAGGGAATTAGATCATGTGCCAATCTCTACTTTTCTTTGGATATCGTTAAGTAAGAGACTAAAATGAAGGGACAGCATCCTTGCGCAATTTTCACTTATCCTTCCTGCCTGAGCATAGATCAGAGTCCCACAAACACTGAAGTCTTTATGTTTGCCGTATTTATGCTTGGCCTCCATATTTTCCTAGAGGAAAAACTGATGGACCCTGTGTGCTGACTCGAATTTTAATTCCTCACGGGCTGAAATACTGTCCTGCTGGAAATGCCAAGCGGGAGAAAGGAACAAAGCATAAGCAGCTCTGCCCCAGCTGCATGTGGAAAGTCACCCAAGGCCCTCACCTGGCTGGGGATGTCTTGCAGCTCATCTCCAGCGCACTGGCCTCCTCGTAATCATCCTCAGGGATTCCTTCATGTAAGTCTCCCATCACTGCCTCCTTGCTGGCTTTCCCAGTGATATCGTTATCTTCATCCTCCTCATCTAATAGCACCTCATCGTCCACTTCTTCATCGTCCAGTATATCTGAGTTCTGACTGGTCACCAATGCTTTTTCATCCTTAAAGTGACTGCCATTCATCCTTTTAATGAGAGAAAGTTTCAATCAGTGATTGGATTGGTTGTTGCTGTTTCTTTAAATAGGCATTTTTTTTAGTACTCTGAACCTCTCCTAAACAGTAGTTTCAATTTCTAATCCTTACAGAGGAAATTTTTTTAATATAATTTATGCTTTATGGCAACGTTGGGAAAATAATAGGATTTCATAAATGAGCAAAGAAAAACAAAATAATTAGATGATTATTCAAATTATAAGTGGAGGCTCTGGCAGAAATAGAAAAACAATCTATCTCTGATTTCTTATCATGTCTGATAAATGATTTTTGTACTATATAATTTAAACAGTGCATAATAGTTTTCTACATAATGTACCCAGTTATTATTTAAGTATCCCCATTTGAAAGAATTTATTTCTAGAAAATTCTTAGACCTGAGTAACACTGGCAACAGCATCAACACACACACACACACACACACACACACACAATATCTTAATTGCTATTTCCTGTTTCTAGGTGATATTTGTGGTGAGCTTGCTTATTTGTACACTGTTCTCCATTCTGGCGGAACTGAGGTTTAAACTCAGGGCTGTACAATGGCAGTAATACTGTTACTCCAATCCCTTTTGCTTTTGAGTTATTTTTTCAGACAGAACCTTATACTTTTGCCTGGGATGGCCTATGATCACGATCTTCCTACCTATTCCTTCCACATAGCTGGGACCATAGGCATCTGCTACCATACTTGGTTAATTTGTTATTCTTGTTAACTTCTTTCTTGACTTCAAACCATAACCTGAGTAGCTGGAATTACAGGAACAGACCACCATACAAGCTGTGTGTGTTGGCTTTTGATTTTTTAAGGATCCTTGTTTTTTTTTCTGATCACAGATTGTTACTATATGTATCTATAATATCCAATGTTGTTTTGAAAAAAAAGTTTGTTGTTTTTCCAGGAAACACCAATGTAGAAAATGTACTCAGTGTAATTGCACAAATACATATTGTAGTTTACTCAGCAAACTACAATATAAGCTATACCTAATAACATAAGGGAAGAAAGTCATTTGCAATTTTTTGTTTATGTTTAGAAAGATCATAATATACAATTCAAAAGTAATAAGAGATTAATTACACTAGAATCACAATTTAATACATTCAAGAACATTTATAATACTAAGAGAAGCCATGTAGGCTTTTAAATGATTAACAAAATAAGCACAATTTGAATTTAAATTTTGCTTAAAAGTTGAAATTAAATTGGTAATTATAAATGCTTTGAACTAGAGAATATCTACTGGAAGTCTCCTACTTTTAAAGATATAAAACTAAACATCAGACACTGGTGGATGGACCTATAATTCTGACTACTCAGAAGTCTGAGACCTGGAAGATCAGTATCAAAGCTATCCCGAGCAGAAAAATATTACAGACTCCATTGCCAATTAACCAACAAAAAGCTAAGCTTGAGGTGTGACTCAAATGGTAAAGCACTGGCCATAAGCAAGCAAAATGAAAGAGGAGATTCTGAGATCAAATCCTAGTATGAAAGAGAGGAGGAGGAGGAGAATAAGGAGAAGAAAGGAAAGGAAGGGAAAGGAAGGGAAGGGAAAGGAAAGGAAAGGAGAAACAAAGAAGAAAAAAGAAAGGGGACAGACTGAAGAAGAAAATGTTGTGGCATTCATTATCTTCCCATTTACCTTGCTCTACTTTATCTACATATTTATTCAGAAACCTTGTTGTAACTATCATGTATGAATTTCATATGTAATTACTTTTTAGCTTATGAGAGATTGAACAACAGTAACATAACCCATCATTTTCCACATAAAAATGAGTATAACTTCAGTATTTTGATTTTCCAACATAAAAATAACACATAAGACAATCTTGGAAATGAAATATATATATATGTATGCATGTATGCATGTATGTGTGTATATATATATGTATATATATATATATATATAGTAAAATAATCTGTGACCAGAAAATGTCAAATCATTATTAGTCAGCATTACATATAAATAATCTCTTAACCTCTTTCATTGAAGAATGATGAAAAGTATTTTTCACAGACATAGATTGTTAGTTTTTAGATACACTGCCAACTGTCTAGCTTGAATAGATGAAATTGTTATTTAAGAAATGAAAGAGTAAGTAAAAGAACAAAAGAGTTCATGGATATAAACCAAATGGAAAAGCCAATATAATTAAGAAAGCCTATTTGTTAATTATACTTCTAAACATGGCAATTTATCAGGTATAAATTATTCACAAAAGTAGCTTGATAGGAGTTGAGAGGAAAAGTCAGATGACTCAACTTCTCAGTCCTCTGTGTAGACATGCTGAAACCAGATGTTGGAGTCTCCAGACTCCAGAATCTCCACTGATGAGCTAGAAAATCTGAACAAGCATCTCAGGACCCAAATGGTATCTTTTGTTAATACCTTCTCATTTGCATTGTGTAAACCTTATTATATCAAAATACAGTGTGGATATAATGAGTATCTTACGTGCTCTTACTACTTCATACTACTGATTGTCTGCCATCATCTTTGACATCTCCATTTCTTCACTGAAAAATATAGTCACTTTCCCTCCAAGATTATGGTGAGAATTAAATTAACTAATATTTGTAAAGTAGTGTACACATAGAGTCTGTTCTGATACAACAATGTGCCATTTAACATGCAATAAATAAATATTAGCCACTGGTATCAGGAATAACAAGAGTATGACAGATAGATAGATAGATAGATGATAGATAGATAGATCTGCATTATATATATATATGTGGGTGTGTATATATGTATGTGTACATATTATATGTATATGTATATATATATATATTTATCAATCAAAGAGCACCCTCCTTTAAGAAATCCAAAGGCAGCTATACCTGTCCTCGGCATTTCTGGGGGACTGGCTGCCGTGGTTGCTATTCCCGATGAAATTTCGGATTTCTGTGAAGTAGGCATCTTCTTTGTCATCCAGAATCGCCCCTGTACTCTCCAGTTCAGAGTGAGGCGATGATGTTGCCGTACCTATGTGGTAGAGAAAGCCTTTTGTGACAAAGATTATTGCTTCTTGGGAAACATGTTTGCAAGCTCATTCCTCATAAATTTGATCAGTATTCTTGTTGTGGTTGTTGTTAAGAAAGCAAATCCCTTTGTCTATTAGTACCAGTAACTGTAGGAATCAATATCTCCCCAATTCACCATGATACGCATGCTGGTGAAGTTCCTTGGGGGATACTCTGACACATTAGGATCATGAATTACAGTTTCCCAAGAAGGTCGTGTCTGTCACTAGCTCTCCCTTACCCCAACTGTGAGTTGGGAACATTTTTCTTGCTATAATGAGGAGACAGGGGAGACATGATCAGACTTCTTGTGTAGACTCTTCTGAAAGACACTGGTCTCGGTGCTGATTTCAGCCAGTGCATGTTTCTTGCCCCTGTGTGGAAGCGTGTTACCGAATACAAGTGGAAAATGCACTGAGATTTCTGCATCCTGACCTAGTGGCTGAGCCACTGGAAGACTGAGGACACACGCCTGCACAGAAGCTGGTCCAGCATCATCGAGGATGGGAGGGGCCTGTGTCCTATGCGGTGGCCTTCAGCTTTCTCACCCACCAACTGAGCACAGCCACACCTCCCCACAGGACTGCTTTATGCCTTACAGAAATCAGCACAATTTCATAAACTTTAGATGTGCTTAAACTTAACACTGACATTAGCATCCTGCTCTTACACACAGGCATCAATATTTTAATAGTTCATCAGAATTGTCCATATGACAGAAACAAGAGGTTTTGTATGGCTGACGTAGCCATACAATTGAGAGATGCTATAATCTGGTTAATGGGTAAATATTCAACTTTGCCAAGTTAACTTGTATTTTCAGTGCTGGGTGAGTTACATCCTCAATCCCTGATAATTTAAGTTTTTAACTTTCCCTTTTCCTGAAATAGTGTGGATTCGAAAACTGCACTAATTGCAGCTTTGTATAATAGATTAAGATTTTTGGATCTACAGTCTCATTTTTTAAATCATAGTCATTAGACTGTAGAAGTAAACAGTATACCATTCTAAACTGTCACAGTTTGAAATTACTTTATACTACAGGAAAAATTAGTAATAAAATAATTTCTTAAGAAAAGATTTTAGTCTGTATAACTCTATTTTTTTCTGATCTTAAAATCTCATTTCCTAGCCAGGACGCCAGTGGCTCACACCTGTATCCTAGCTACTCAGGAGGCTGAGATCTGAGGATTGTGGTTTGAAGACACAGGAAAGTCGGTGAGACACTTATCTCCAATTAACCACCAGAAAACTGGAAGTGGTAGATTGCTCATAATTCTTAATCTCTTCCCATCTCCTAATTCATTTCCTTGACTCTTTATTAATAAATTGGGACTTCTCAGGTTGGCACAACATTTATATGCCAGCACTGAAAACAATGGATATCGGCTCATTAACTAAATCTTAGAAGCCAAGATCTATAATCCCTTCTGCTAATATAGGTGTTGTTAGGTTAGAGTGAAGAAAAACTTAGTTATGTTGCCAGTTTGTTTCAGTTTTATTTTTATGGCAGACTGAATGACAAAACAGAACAGCACCATCATGTGCTGTGAGTACACTGATCACACTGGCAATTTTTAATGCCTACTCTTAAAAGAAACAAAGAAGTTAACCTGGAGAGACTTACGAACTGAGCTGTAGGCCTTCTGCCAAAGCAGCTGTGGTTTCCAGATTAATATTCAGAGTATGGTATTCTGGGGCTACAACTCTCTGCATTTATGCCAAGCTTAGGCACACATTCTGTGCCAAGAGGTGGATAGATTGCTCTATGCAATTTAGGAAATCTTGATTCATGTGTCTCCGGTGAGTTTGGGTCAGGATACCCTTTGCCTGAGATGGCCCATTGAGATGAACTCAGCAGGAGGAAAGCACAATGTAAATAAGGCCAGAGTTTACATTAATCAGTGATCACGTGATTCTAAAATCTCAGGGGAAACTTGCTCTGAACTTTCACAGTAATATCTGATCTGGGTGTCAAAATGGAATGAAGGTAGAAAGGTCATGATCAGATTTCAAAACACACACAAGAAAATAAAGCCATCTTTTCCTTGTGGCACAACCAAGTACTCACCAGACATGTTCCCATTCTCGTGTTTCTTTAGGTGTCTGTCTAAGTTGGTTTGTTGACCAAAACACCTATCACACAAGTGACACTTAAACGGCTTCTCCTTGTTGTGGATGTTTCTAACATGGCGCTGGAGGTTAGAAGATATGCTAAATGATCGGTCACAGTACTTGCATCTGAAAAATAAACACAGAGAAAAACATGTGCAAGCAATTCAGAAGATATTTTTCTAGACTAGTAAACAAGATATCAAAAATTACCACCCATAAAATATTTTAGAAAATGGCCCAGGCAGCCTGAGGTGGTGAAACATGCCTCTAGCCCCCGCACTGGGAAAACTGAACCAGAGGGTAAAGTTCAAGACCAGCCTGAGCTACATAATGAGGTCCAGGCCAATCTCTCCTATATAGTGATACCTGGTCTCAAAAAATAGAATAAAATAAATAAAATGAAATAAAATGTTTTAAAGGCACAGGGAGGAATACTGTTCATGTTCACATAGTGAAGATGTGAACTCCAACAGACCCTGATTGCTTTAAATGCTTTTCATAACTCCATGGAAAACATCATCACAATAAATTGGTGACTTGATTGTGCCAAATTTTATTAGGATAATCATGTTCAGTATTTTAAAGGAACTTCACCAAAATAAAAACATGAAGAAATAGTAGTGTTATTTTGTCTTTTGCTTAGTAACAATTGAATCATTTCTAAAACACCAATTCATTCATTCCTCATTGTACAGACAACTTTTAAATTCGGAATTGGACTCTAATAGTTTCTCTGTCAATGTTCCTTCTCTGCTACTAATCCTAAAGAGATTCTATTATCCCAAACAGCAGTAAACATTCCAAACTTTAAAAATCAAGACAATGTGAATAGTGTGGTCTTACATCAATTTTTATTTTTATAACCTGTGGTGACTGATTGTAAGATTTCCATTGATCTTTAAATAGTTACAAAAGCAAGTAATAATGCCAATAAAAACTAGTAATAATGATAATGTACCTCTTGGTTGAACACTAAAGTCTTTATTAACCTCCTCTCTTTCCCTACTTCTCCTAATTTTCCATTTCTTTTTGTGTATCTTTTAATCAGCATATGCTAATTATATAAAATAATGGATTTTTAGCAGTTTGGGACCAATTCAGTTTTCTAGGAAATCACCTTACTAGGAGATTATTGACTATTTCTGCTTTTTATAGACTAGAACAAAGTGTCACAAATTATTTTCAAGTTTTCCTTTACTTGAAAAATGGAAGGGAATACTGTCAGACCTCTCCTTACATAGCGGCTTTCCAGTTCCGGAGGAAGAAAGAAAGATGCTGAAAGTTTTGGGACTGTTGTTTCCTGGCATTTGAAGGTAAAGAAATCATCTGCCCTGTTTAAAGTGATGTTCTATGTGCATCTTGCTTGAAAGGGGAAAAAATGGTTTTTCTCTAAATGATTTTTAAGTGAATACTTCTGACTTAGTGGCCAGAAAATTCTCAAGGCATTCTTCCATGTGTGAAGGGTTCTTGTCCCACTTCTGAAAGCAGACTCGAGTTCAAGTGCTCTCCGTGAGAAATCACCCCAATCCACTTAAAGCACTTGGGCTTCTGCAGCTCAAGTCTAGTCAGCTCAATGGGAACAGCAAGCAAGTCTGTTGAATTAGTAACTTTGGCATAATATCAACAAACCAACTTAAGGACTTCCCATGGGGAAAACCATCCTGGTATCATGAGGTTCTATGGATTTTCTGGCTAATAATAATAATAATATCTGTCCCTCATTGGTGTAATATTCTGGATTTCTCTGCAATAAGCACGTCTCTGCAGCCCTGAAGTGAAAAGCATCCTGCATTAACCATGTGCTATACCTCACAGGAAACAGAAAACACTGATCCAGAAAATGCACTCTCACCCAACACTTTAGAAAACCTTTTACTCATAATATTTTCTATACAAACATGAAGGAGAAAGACCTCATTTTTGACATGCTTCTAACTTTCTGCTGTGTGCAAACCAACTCACAAGTCAAGTAAACAAAACCTTCTCACATCTAAATACAACTGGCCAGTAAGAGGGGTTGGGCACGACTTCAGTGGTTGAGTTTCTGCCTAACCAGCATGAGGCTCTGAGTTCAAACCCAAGTACTACCCCTCTATCCTCAGATTTGCTTTTAATTGGCCAATACGGTTGTTGAAACCAATGTTCAATAACCATTTCTATTTCCTTGAGCCAACATCTGGCTAGAAGAGTATATGCTTTAAAACATTCAAAAAATAAAACATTAAACACACTAACACACACACATACATTCCTCTTTACTCCCATGACAAGAAGGTGGTTAAAAAGCATCTCAAATCAGGCCTAATTTCAAATATTCTTAAAATCATAGTAGTACATCATTAAGTCTCCCTAGTAAGTGGATGAGATATACATCAGAGGATGAGATAGACTCTGGGGTGAGGGCTCTAGACCTGCAATTTAATTCTGCATCTATTGGTAACTCTTGACAAAAAGGTAATTAATATCTATAGATCTGAATATTTCTTCCATTTATAAAATAGAAGGGCTGGGCACCAGTGGCTCACACCTGTAATCCTACTCAGGAGGCTGAGATCTGAGGATCTCAGTTCAAAGCCAGTCAGGGCAGGAAAGTCCATGAGACTTTGATCCTCAATAAAAGCAGAAAACCAGAAGTGGCTCAAGTGGTAGAGCATTAGCCTTGAGCTGAAGAGCTGAGGGACAGCACCCAGGCCCAGAGTTCAAGCCCCACAATGGACAAAATAAAAAAAAAATTTAATTCAAAATAAATAAAATAGAAGGGTTGCACCACATCATTGTTTAAGCTATGCCAAAATCCTAGTTTATGTATTTTAATGCCAATATAATAACATTTATGAGTTAGAATGAAACCATTATATTCAGGAACAAAGAACAAAGAACACAATCATGACATCATTGTCGCAGCCTAAGACCCTAAGCCTTAACAAAATAGGAGTTAGTGAAGTGTAGGTCCCTGTGAGCAGAGTTCTTGCAAAACTGTTCTCTGAAGGGAACCTCCCATTTTCTCTGTTTATGGGAGATCTGATACACCAAGTATGTTCCATCAGAAAAAACAGGAGTGTGACTTAGAACCTGTCATTTATTAAAATAGGTAAGAACTCAATTAATTCAAGAAAATACTGATTTCTCTAAGTTTAAGCCCCCCCATAATTTTCTCCTAAATACTCCATCTTTCTTCAAATGAGCCTTTGTCTGCCCATTTTCTCATTCTTGAACATTAAAGTCTTTGAAACTAGATAAGTTAACTCACTCCTATAAAATTCACAAGAACTTTAAAGGACAATGATATTATATTATTTGAGATCAATACTATTTATTCATTTTTGGAAAAAATTTCAAATATGATGCCTAATATTATATTCAAAGCATTGCACATTAAATTATTATGTAGGTTATAGCTTGAAATCAAAAGACATCATGCTGGTTACCTTCATGCTATTTGAAGTAACAATATTAAAATTAGTTGTATCAAGTGGTTAATTTTTATGTTTAATAGAACAAACTGAGTTACTTTAGAAAATTGTGGGTAGAATTAGCCTTTTCCTATAATACCCTCTATTTTACCTGTTCTATCTCTAATTCTGTAGTTCTTTCTCTTGTGAAGTATGGACACTTCAACTCAGACCCTGAGCACTGTCCCTGAGCACCAGACTAGCACTCTATCACTTACGCCACAGCTCTGCTTGGAGCTTTTTGCTGATTAACTGGAGGTAAGAGTCTCATGTACTCTTCTGTCTGGAATAGCTTTGAACTGCGATCCTCATATCTCCTTCCTGAATAGCTAGGATTATAGGAGTGAGCCTCTACTGCCAAATTTTAAGGTTGTTTGTTTGTTTGTTTTTAATGTAGTCTTGAACCTATAGACATAGACTTAGGGAAGTTACCGAAACAAAATACATATGGATTAGAAACTCCTGACCAAGATTCAAGGTTTGGAAAGAGGAAATCCACACAGTTATGATTTATGTCAATTACAGTAGCACTGATCACTAAGAAGCAATAGAATACCTTCAAATAAGTTTTAATATCTAACCCCTCTTAAATGCTTATCTGAAAGTTTTTTTTAAAGAATTCTCATTTGAAGGCATCAGAACTCTTCACATTTTGATACTGACACCGTTGGTTCTTCCTGGACTGAAAATTGAGTAGACATCCATTCACACGTGCACACACCCCAAAAAATGACCTCCTTCAACGTTATGAGCACGTCAACTTTAATTTTCAAGATATGTAGAAAAATCATTGTCAAACCTGTAAGGTTGTTCTCCCGTGTGGGTTCTCAAGTGCCGTGTTAGGTTCGCAGACCTTGGGAAAATCTTGCCACAGTATCTGTCATAAGAAGATGTTTATAAGAGAAAGTCAGCACAGTTGGCTCGATTTCACTCCAGCCGCAGAGCAACCAGATGCTTATTCCCGACTTAATTAATCTTGCATGGAACTCACATGCCTCTGGTATTTAAAATGTGCAACAAAGCCATTCTACGGATATAAATAACTCTACAAATCAAGGCTGCATTATGAGATCGGGCTGGGTTTGTTCATGCATAAGTAAGCAGCTGATGAAAATCGACTTGTTTTGATGACCCCCACACGCCTCTTTTATTAAGTCCATATCTTTACATTCACAAAACTGAACCAGACAAGAGGATAAAAAGAAAACATGACAAGAGTTTGTGATTCTGGGGTGATGTAAACATATTTCAAGTGTTTCGATTCAGTGTAGACATTAGACACCGTGACAGCTCCCTGTGTATTGAGTGGTATCAGATCAGACAAGACCCCGAGATTCATCCATCAAGATACATTCCCATAAAAGCTTTTCTGGTAAGAAAGTGACACATTTTTCCAAAGAGCAGATAAATTGATATGCCTGTGCCAGGTAGCACAAATTCCTGCAGACAATTGAGGAATCATAAGCACAATTTATTTCAAAAAGAAAACACACAACCCAAACCCAAAGCGTGGAACATGCTTTGTTCTTCTACGGATTAATAAGAAATTTATTAACTAGCGTTCCTCACTTATGAATCTTAGCCACGGTTCATGAATGGCCTTGTTTTTCAAAGGCATGTGCATTAATAATAGGATGCTCAATTAATAAATGTATGCTGGAGGACAGTAGTATTTTACCTTTGCCTGGAAATAATTAACTGTGAAAGAAAATTTACAAATACTAACCCGAGACAAGGCAAGTAATGTTTGGATAATTTCCCATCTCATTTATACACAACCAAACGGTCTGTGTGAAAATTCTCATTTAATAATAATTCTTATAAAAACCAGCATTTTTGTATCGCCACTGGAAAAAACAGAAGTACTTTGGAGTGTCTGCAATCGATCATGATCGCTATTAATCATTCAATCAAGAATAATTTCCCAAACACACACCCGGGCTTCCTGTCACCAAGGGGAGATGTGGGGGAAAGTTAGCCATAGTTAGTTTCACAGTTACCTGCAGGTGTAGCGCTCCTTCCCCTTCCGCAGAAGGTTCTCAGGTAAGGTATTTGGAGGCGCTCTGAAGCTGAACATAGAGGGCACGGATTGCAGCAGCTCGCTAGCCTCCGGCTTCAGCGCACTGAAGCTCTCTAGCTTTTCTGCCATGTTTTCTATCGCGGACATCTGAAAAGCAGCAGAGAGCAAAGCACCATGAAGTCTGACACCTTTTCTGCCACGATCATCTCTGGCAAAGCAAGACCATTATTAACAGGAAAACCATCCAGTCCCTCTAAATGTAATCGCTTGGGAAGGAGACTAGAAGGTTTCAATATGAAACAATGAGGAAATTGATTTGGGGAAATAAATGCTGGGCGATCTTTTGTCCACAAGACCATCTCAAAGGCCACTTTATAATAACCTGGGATACAGTCAGTGAGACAGATAATAACGCCATATCCTTTTTTTTTTTTTAAATTAAGAGACAGTATTTTGTTATGGATATCAACAGTAAACTAGAAATGTTAGGGAAAGATGTGACATGCCTTGCCTTAGGTAATAAAAAAATATATATGAGAACCCCAGTCTCCCATGAGGAGGACAAGCAAGAGTAGAAAGTGCTCCAACGTTCTATCTTTGGCTAACTGTGTAGAATCCAGGGAAAAAAATTCAGTGTGGAAAAGGTATACTGCCTCAGACTAGGATAACAATATCTGGATACACTAAATGTTAAGTGGGATCATACATAAAGAATTTTGATGAAATGTTACTTTTTTCTAGACAAAAAAGTGACTTGAAATGACAGCTTATTATATTTTAAAATAATTTAGGGCTGGGGATGTGGCTCAAGTGGTAGAGTCCCAACCTAGCAAGCATAAGGCCATGATTTCAAACCCCAATACCCCAAAAAGAAATGAAAATAATTTCATATGACAGAACTCCATAAGTATGTTTTGAGACAAGAGGAACAATTCACATAATTGTACTCCTTGAGAAATATTCTTAAAGAAAAAACTGTCTTACCTAATTCTATTTGAGAAGCTAATTTATTTTTGCTTATAAACTTAGTGGGTTTTTTTCCACCTACACACATAGTTAGAATTAGAAGGTGACATTTACTTTTAAGCCTCGTTTTATACTAAAGTATACAGTTAAAGGGATTCCTCCCTTTCCATCAGTACCCTCCTCAAAAACATACTCAAGAACCCAGTACTCAGATTTTATTTAGAAGCTGTTTACTACCATCTTGAATAGACAAAGCAAATTCTCAATTCATCTTGTTAAATCAATTCACTCATTGCTATACTAAAGCACCTATTAAAAAGGTTTTATGTGCATGTTATAGACATCTCAAAGAACTAGGGTAGTTAAAAAACTAGGGTAGATTATTCTTTTCCTGATCAGACATCAAGAAAGAAATAGAGATCAAATTTACAAACTTCAGTTCCAAATAAAAGGGAATATTTCCATCTCAAAAGGAAAAGTGGACACACAGCTAGACAGAATATCCTAACTTCTTCAATAAAAGCCAAGTCTTAACAGAATGACATGAGCATTCTCTGCCTCTCACAATGGGAAGAGTGGAGGCCGGAGTCTGCAAATGACCATTCGTGTTCTAGTTAACTCTTTTTCTCTTCTCTTTATCCTCGAACCTGCCCTCTCGTTTCATGCCTGGACTCCTAATGCTGGCTACAAATTGCAACGTACAGGGTAACATTGCCAATTTGCCAAATATCTTTCATCAAACACAGTGCGGGGGGGGGGGGGGGTGGAATTCTCAGAGGAAAGTCAAGATACATTTACTTGTCAGCCAACAAATGTAAACGCATTGGGAGGCAGTGAGGGCTAGAAGCTCAAGGGTTTGATTCATAATCACTCAGCTGCTAAAACATTCTCCACAGATGCAAGTGGACAGCACATTTGTCACTATGAAGGATTTTGACACATACTGATCACAGGGCAAAGATATAGAATGATGATGCCGCTGAAACATTGGGGGAAATTCTGTCGCTCTAGAATAGATCTATCCCTTCTGGTGAGAGCATTAGCATTTTCATATCACTTTGGATTTTATTTATTAAGAATCAATCCAGAAATATTGTATATTACTATTTTATTTGCATTTATCCCTTGGAATTGTTCCTTAAAGAGACTCATTTTGTTATCCTATTCACCATAAAGTAAATTATCTGAGTAATAAATGACCTCCAGTCTTCAAGCTGACTAGCAGTAACAAGCAAGGTTAAGGGTCAGGATGACAAGTATTCATTGAGAAGAACAGGAGGTACAAGGGTGATGATCATAAATGCGTTACTTATGTACATTTAATATTTGGGTAACGTCTCATTATCTAGTGGCTTTAAATCATTTGTGTGTTGAATGTGCTGGCACACTCAGATTCCTGCAACAATACTTCTTATAGAAACACTTTTCTTTTTATATGGAAAATAGCATACTCATGACTTTTATTATTCTTAGCTTTCAACTCCAGCACACATAAACTGTAAGTCATTGGAGTTATTGGAGAGCATTGGCTGCTGAGAAATGGGTCTTGCTTTAGTAGCTGCTAATAGGCAGCTCCTTTGAAGAAAGATCACTGTGATTACTTTACCTCAAACTGCTTCAATTTGGGAAAAAAACCATCAAGAAATAAGAAAATATATTATGGGCTGGATGGCAGCATAATGATATTCTGAAAGACAATGGGAAAAAGTTACCTCTCTAACAACCACCCAACATTGGTTTCTGGTGTCAACTGAGAAGTGAGGAAGATGGAGAAAAGGAAAATGAGGATAAAGTTACTGATAACACATACACACTCTCTCACTCACTCTCTTTCTCTCTTCTGCCCAGAAATCACTGAAGAGACATAGACGTATTGCCTTCTTTGTTCCTCTTCCTCAGATTTGCTATTAGTACACTTGACTTCAATTGGAAATAACTGTTCTTGTTACAACAGATGAGACACACCTAGGCAACAGCCATGTGGTGTGTTCTGGCAATTCTGTGACCAAGGTCTGCCCTCATCTGCACCTTAGATTGAGGTATGAATGAAAATAAGCTTTGTTTAATATGTGAATCCAAACTTCAACTTTTATCTTTCTATCTGGTCTGACTCAAATAGTAGTCTTTCAGAAGTAATATACACTTTATAGAAGTCGTAAGTTGTGGTATTCTTTTAAAGTCTGGCTTGGTATTTTCTTAAATATAGCTAAGCTGGGATGAATGAAACAGAATCTATCTATTACTATTTAATTGTGAAAAAATCCAATGGAAAAAGTGATGTGTAATATTCGAAGATATTTGCTGAGAATGGGGAAAATAAAGGAGAGAAAACTTAGATCATATATTTTTAAAACACATTACCATGTGGGCCACTAATGACTCAGGCTTATCTCAGATTGGTGACAGATTTTTTTTTCTGATGGACTAGCAATTTTTATTTACATATATAATAGTTGTTGATGGTATCTGCAGCCAGATGTCTGGAAGAGGAAGTTGTTTCACCCCCGTCCTGTCCCCAAGAGACTATTAACTTTATACTGACGCAAACTAATATTTAGACACAATTCCCTAGCTCCTACCAAAAACTTTAGCTATGTCTCCAGTCAAATAAAGTTAGTATTTTTAAAAACATTTCAATGGGCAAGATAGCATCCGCTCAATCTTAAGGACTGGACTTAACATTTAGCATCTGGCAGCCAATAATTGATGACATAGAAAAGTTTCTCATTACAGCCATTAAAATGACAATCTGATTATGTGAAATGATGAATAAAATGGTACCAAGAGTTATGTGACCTAGTGTTTCACCATTAGATTACACATGGCTTTATCATAAAATGACTAACTATTCATAAATAACTTGCGATGGGAAAGTTTGTGGATTTTCCAGTTTTCTATATTTATTCACTTGATAATTTTGAGCAATCTCAAAAATCATGGTCATTTGAGGGAGAAGTACATATTCATATTTTATTTTTATCTCACTTCATATATCACTTGGAACAGTTGTGATAATCAAATCACTTCGTTTATTTGCCACTAAAAATGTAAACGTGTTTCCCAGTAGCATCTAGTTTTCAATATAAATGCAAGTCTCAGCCTTGAAGAACCTGTAACTCAATGAAATGGAAGAGCTTCCCAAACATTGCAATGATGGGAACTGTGCTTTCCGGTCATGAGGGAATCTGAATTGGCTCCAGGCTGGTGAAATAAATGGCCATGCATGTTAGGGGATAACACCTTAAGCTTCAAGCAGTTCACAACAAAGTGACTGTCAAAAGTCATAGAGTATTTGGTAGAAAAAAAAGAGGAGCATGAAGTGGGAGACTCGTGGCAGCCCTCCCCATCAGGAAAGACAGAGGAGGAACCCTGGGAAAAGTTGGCCAGGATAATAAAGGAAAACCACTGACTGCACACTTATGCTTAATTAAAAAAGTGGTATACTCGCTCACTTTTCTCTCTTTTCCTCCCTTGTCTCTCCATAAATACTTTTATCATTTTGAAAGAAATGAAATTAATTCCTAGAAATCTATCAGAATCAGAAAAAAATCACAACTTATCTTTCCACAATAAAGAAAATGTAAGACTTCGTGGTAAAGAAATGCCAACATCAGATTAGTTTGGGAAATAAGTAAGCACCAAATCAAGTTAGATACAATTATATGGTGGCCTTAAAAGAATAGCGGAATTATATCCCAAGACTTCTTTCATTCTTCAGAAACAAGGGTAATTTTGATTGAAGAAGTAAACACATACATCCTTAGAGGAAGTTTTAAAATAATGTTACTTCAATTGACCAATTTTATTTAAAGGTGAAATTTAAATAAGCAGGGTTTTTAAAATATATTAAATGTCTTCCTCAATAAAAAGAGAAATGTCTCTCCCTTTATAGCATTCATTGAAACTGGCTTTATTTCTAATGACTGAAAATTGAGAGTGTGATACAATCCTCCCCACACCCAGAAAAAAAAAATCCACTCACTAAGTAGATAACGATCCTTAACCATTTATTCTCAATTTCTGCCTGGTAGGTGAGAATTCTAAAGTTGTCCTATGTCTATAAATAAGTTCCAGTTTTATCTTGTGTTAGACTTGATCAAAAGTATCTTTAACATGTTATCCTCCAAACAATGGTCACATCCACTTGTGGACCCATTTCAAAACCACCACTGACGACAAGCTCCCAGGTGTCCGTAATTAATATCTAAGTAGAATTATGTGAAATGGGTCAGATTTGTCAAATACTGTAAATCTCACTCATTGCTCAATTGTATTTAAAAACTCTATTCAGCGACTTAATGAAACGGGGAAATTCTCTGAGTAGCTGCATCATTTAACAGAAAGGGGCTCAGAATTCCTCAGCAACTTAGAAGCTGTTTCCTTTTTTAATGCTATATTACTTTAGTCAAAAATATAAGTAGGAAACTTACCCAAGTTCTCTGATCAGGCAATTGGAACTGGGAGCAAAATTGAAACAAAAACAAAAAATTACTTCTTTGTTGGTATCTTTATTCCAATCTACCCTTTTGAGAAATTAACATTTATACTAATTTAGCAACCTGGCTTATCATGTAATTATACCTTAAGTAAAAGCTTTGGAAAGAAAGTTAAATATTTGTATAACATGGCTGGACTGTTTCTAATACTGAAAATAAAGGATCAAGGGTATAAACCAGTGTTCTTTATTCCAAGAAAGTTAATGGCTACTCAATCTGTAGCAAAGCAGATCCTTTTATTTTATTTGCTCTTACTCAATGCAAAATAATAATTTTGCTTTAATTTTAAGTTATTTCCTATAAAAAGTTAAATCTGTTGCATTTCTACAAGATTAATAATTAAGAAAATAAGATACTTACTAAAATGCATATAAGAGTGACAAAAAGGTAATGCTCTTAGAAATTCACTTCTTGACAATATGAAATTCAGATGACCAATATATCAATTAAAAGAACTAAAATGATCTAATTATTTATGAAAGTTATGCTAACATTCACTGGGAGGAAACTTCTGTGGCTTAGAAGTCTTTCCAGAGAACATAAAGATTATATACACATAAGGATATCATCTTGCTTGTTGTCCTTTAATAAGAAAGAGATATAGCAGCACACAACACTTGTTGAAAGCAAAATAGAAAATGAATGGCAAGGATTTCCTATCATTGTATAGATGCCAACTTGGGAAAGAAACTAACATATCTAGTGCTTTAGAATGCAGTAACAGGATAATCAACCAGTATGAGAGAAAAAATATAAATGAATGAAATACAACATAAACTTATAATGAAAGTGTACTTTGTTACAGATACACACAAAAAACCAAGCCTTTGAAAAGAAAATGTGTAAATAACCCAAAACAATATTAAACATATAAGAAAGTCGATCATATAGGAATAATAGCCATTTTTCAATGCTGTAATTGCCAACTGATTTATAGGACAGCTCAAATAAACTACCAATGTGGCTGTAAAGTACTGAACGTAGAAATCAATAAAATGAACGCTCTGTGATTACACTGAAATGTCGTTCCTTCCACCTTACCTATTTATGACAGTCATCTTTTTTTACCCAAATTACAATGCAAATTAAAATATCCAGGGAAAACCTGTATAGTACTGATTTTGCCTTTATAGTAAACTTGTTTATATGCAAAATGAAAGGCTAAATAATCCACTAGGGGCCTGAAGGCAGACATAATCCTGCAAGAACTGAATTATGAGAGGAAATTAGGCCCTAAGGATTTCTCTCTTAATTTTGGTACCTATGTCCATGTCTCTTCTAAATAATTTTGATAGAAATTTAATATATATTATTGTACAAGGCAGTAAGGTGATCTAATAAGCCTCAATAAAATTCAATAAGTATTTACTGATGTGTTCACTTATCACTGATTACAGACTGAGCAGTGCAGAGCGATATGCTGGTAGAATGCAGACATAGAACGAAAATTGCAAAACTCAGACTTGCTCAGAGAGTACCCCAAGTGTGAGTTAACTGCTTATGTATTTTCCCCCTAGCTCACTGAGAATGTGGCCTGCTGCTTATTACTATGATGACCCAGACAAACAGGGCAGACATTCTTATTTTGAAGAAGATCCCTAAGGCCAGAGAGGCCATGAAATTTGCCCTAATATTCTTTAAATCAATAGTCTATCTGAATATCTTTTTAGCTGGAAAATCTTGCCAAGCCTTGGGAGTAGGAGCCTGCCCTTCTATTGGGGCTCCCTGCTCTGTCTCACCTTACTGCTGCCCAGCAAGGTCATGCCAATGACACAAAAAGCATCTTTCCAATACACAGCGAGGAGAATGGGAGCATGGGATGGGGTGAAGGCCCTTTACTACTATTCTTTATATTCACTTTGGTGTGCTTGTGAACCATCAGTAAGAGCTCTTTCTCATTCGGTGTTTCTACATGCCCAGCACAATACCAAGCAGGTCCTGAAGGTAGAGCCTGACATCTGCTGAGAGTGCTGCCCCACTCAGCTGCTAGAGGAGTCTCAGAGATGCGAACAGCATTACTAGCAGTAGTGTGTGCTTCTACTCCTAAATCCTGAGGCTGTGTGGTTTGTTTAAGGTACATCTTGAAGCTAGGATGGAATGGATGGAACACTAGGGAATAAAAAGTCTGCTGTAACTTTGGAACACTAGAAGTGATTTTCTGAAAGGACAGACTGGTCCTGCAATCCTCAGAGGCAAAGCCGAGCCTCCCGTATCCCAGCAAATTGCAGCATCGTACACAAAATTAGCCATCAAGACTATCGAAGTCATGGTGCATTTCTGTAACAGCTGGTAAATCACCTCTGCGCTGGGCACTCTGAAAGTCCTCCCTCCTTTCCTTATCTCTTCTCCAGACACCTCTCAGATACCCCACGTATCTAGCAAACAGAACAGTGGGTAGCGTAAGGGCCCCAGTGCCCTGATCTGCGAGGGCAAGTTCATTTGATTGATGGGTATTGTGACACACTAGGGGATACATATTTTGATGATCCTTTTGGGTCTGGCTCTGATAATACCACGCACGGACAGATGGTTCCATACACCAAGACCCCACATTCTTAGGAGGAAGGAATCATACTGCCGTGGTGCTCCCGCAGACACGGGGGGAGAGAGAGAGAAGAAGGAAAGAGCCCTGTACACACACCGGAGCTTAACTTTAGGAATAACTTTAGGAATGCTAAAACAGCATGTTTTCTCTCATGACAAGGTAAAAGAATGGGGATGCTCTATTTACGGCACTGGCTGGACCAGGCTTCCATCTTGTGAACCAGTGACTTTGCTCTGATCAGCTAGAACTCTCTGAATTTCAGAATGGATGGGGGTCAATTTTCTCACTTTACAAATAAGCAAAGTAAAAGCCAGATAGATTAAATTGCTCAATGACGCTGAATCCCAAATGCAGTTTTGTTTCCATTATACTGCATATCTGCCACACCCAACTCTTCAAGTCATTGATTACTGGATTCTCAAGGCTACCAAAACATTTAAACGATTTGATGATTATAATTTAATGTACATAACTATTGTTGAGATGGGAAGGGAAAATGGGGGAGAAAAATAGAAGGGTAACATTGATCAAGGTGTACCGTACTATAACCTGATGTAGGGAATTGTATCTTTGTACAGCTACTTAAGAATAAAAACTAAGCCATCTCTTATATGTCAGAAGCAGGTTTTGTGGGTATCAAAAATCAATAAAAATTCACATTACTAAAAATAAATAATATTGTATGTATCCCCACAAATATGTTTATCATTAAATTAAAAATACCAAGCCATGTACAGTTGTACAATATCTCAGACAAAACAGCAATCAGCTTTATTAGCTTGTGATTCTTACAAGTAACAGATCAGTCTAAATATAAGGGCATTTAATTATAAATGTTTTCCCATTTTTTGAACTTGGTTGCTTTCTGAATAAAAATTATATAAGTGATACCATTTTTAAGGTTTCCTAATAAAGATAATGCTGGAATGGTCCTAAATCATTAAATCATATTTTTCTCAATCTGAATTAGAATAAGAATTTTTGAGAACCAAGAGAGTTATCTAACAAACTCAAGACTTTTTATTTCAACTCTCAGACTCTTATTCAAGGAAGCAGTTGAAAGTAGTTTGGGAAAGTAGTAGAAAAAAAATAAAGAAAATGTAACAGAGAGGAATAATATAATATCCCAAGATGAGTTTATTTTAACTAGCTAATATATTTTTACTAATTTTATTAGAGAATCATCATTTTAAAAGTAACTATTTTTCAGCCATTTTCATAAAAACTTTGCTAGGCATAAAGATTAGAGTTTTTACCTTTTAAATAAAACAAAACAAAATTAAATGTAAGTTAAGAAACCAGATTCAAGATGTTTATATCTTTGTACTCTGAATACAATTCTTCAGATGTGGATTGACATATAAACCAGCTTAAAACAACTAAGCAGATGTGCAGAGACATAAAGATGAACCAACTAGATGATCCTTGTATTCTCCTTGTAATAAGAAACTATATATATTGCAATGAATGGGCAGGACTCTATTCAGCAAATGGCTCTTGTGTATTGTGGCGAATGTTTGTGCAATTACAGAACTTCGTTGGAATGCCCAGTGGTCTCTAGATGAATTCTTTCACCCTCTATGGTCACAGTTCGTCAGGTGGACTCATTTCCTGTTTTTATCTAAGTACTAAAGGAACAGGAATGACCTCTGAGAGTTTGGGACGAGCCACAATACGATCTGTATCTTAGCATCCGCAATGTTTAAACACAAAAGACAACTTCAATATTTATTTCCTTAGCTCTGTTCTGCTTATTCCAAAATGCACTTTGGCTCAATAAGTACCTAAGAGCAGACAATGATTTAACACCCAAATCATGTTATGTGTACACACATATATCCATTACTTTTTTTTTTCCTTTAAGGAGCTTGGGTTTTCATTCTGCTAGAATTTCCTGTGTTCTTCCACTGAGGCGTCATAGGAAATCCTAGTGTTCTCAAGATTTCTTTCATTTAATTGCACCTGCTTTTCAGGATCAACAAGTTAGTTTACAAGCTTGAAATCTCAAATTCAAAATACTTACTTGTGGGTGGAACAAGAATCCTGGAGAAGGTCTCAAGTATTTCTCTTTTAAAGCTTCAAGTGGGTCAGTTAATTTTCTTTTCTCTACTCTGAAAGGTCAAAATTAGATTTTGGAGGTAAATCAGTTTCATATGTCAATTGCTACAGAGTCACTGACATTTAAAACAGCAAAACAAATGGTAGGTTACTGGATGCACATGAGTACAAACAGAAAGGCATCTGTTCTGTTCTTCAAGAACACTTGAGGGAATTCTAGGTGCTCAAAGACAGAGAGTCTTACTTATGATGGAAAAATCCTTCTCAATCATAGTAGTAAGAATGAGGAAATACAGTAAACTAGGAACCACTAAATTAGAGGTATTTGTCACAAATTTAGTACTTTTCCATTCCCAATGGAAGAATGCTGTATGATTTTGAAATCATGAGTACTGAAAATTAACGCTATTTTCTACCAAGAAGGTGTTACTTCAACTATTCATTCTATTCCTTCTAAATGTGCCAGTAGTCAAAGGGGAGTTTCAGTCAGGTGCCAGTGGTTCACAACTGTAATCCTAGCTACTCAAGGGGCTGAGATCTGTGAATGTAGGTAAGAAAGTCCATGAGGCTCTTATCTCCAATTAACCACCATAAAGCCCAAAGTGGAACTGTGGCTGAAGTGGCAGAGGGCTAGCATTGAGTGCAAAACCTAAGGGCAGCACCCAGTTCCTGAGGTCAAGCCCCAGAACCTGCAATCAATATCAACAACAACAAAAATAAGAACATCTCTAATAACTAGCAATCCTGCTGGCCACTTATTCAAATGAACTCAGATAGATAGATAATCAAAGAGAGGAATTTTTGGATGAATATCTAAATACTGAATATGCATATAAAACATATCTATAAATATCAATATAAATATACATACATGTAAAACTTACCTATAAATCTCGTGTTTTAGAAATGCTTGGCATTCTATTTTTAGTTAGATACATAGAACAATGGTGTCATGAATAAATTTCTTTCTTTTACTAACTACGAATTATTTTCTTAAAAAAAAACTGTTGAATACATATGCTTTTTAAAAAAGAGGACTGAAACAGACTGAAAATCTACCAGTTCTGGAAATCTTATATATGCTATGTATTATATAGATAATTTCACTTATTAAATAATTGATATTAGATCTATTTCACTGGTGAATAAAAGAATGTCTAGGACATGGAAAGGCCAAGCTATCAAGCTAGGTCTTGCACTAAAATCTAGAACTTTCATGAATTTGTTCAATGACAAGCTTTTAGGCCTTACGGGAGATTGAAATACCAGACAGAAGATGAGGAAGAGGAAGAAAAAGGTCAGGAGGTTAAGGGGACAAGTTCAGTGGTTATGTGTAGGAACTAGAAACCTTATTACTATTGGGAAGTTACATTAAAAAGTCTGAAAATTTCTTTTCACAAAGGACTGAGAAATGTCACTGCTTTGAAAATATGACCTTACTGGAAATCTGACATATGATCTCCATAAACATTAGAGAAAATTTGTTTTCTCTTCTTTTTCCTTCTCTAGTGATAGGAATGTGGTAAGAATTAGGATATAATTATTGAAAGTAGGTGCCATTGGCCCTTCCTCTAATCCTAGCTACTTGGGAAGCTGAAAAAAAGATTTCAGCTTGAGGCCAAACTAGACAGCAAAGCTCATCAGACCTTCTCAAGCCATAGCCGGGGATAGTAGCAGATGCCTGTCATCTTAAGCTTTGTGGAGGCTGAGCATTGGGAAGATGGTAGTTCTAGCCCAGCCCAGGTTAAAAAGGCACAAGAGTCTATCTCCCTGAAGAGAAGCTGGAAACAGGCCGATGCTCCCAACAAGGGCAGGAGACCCACTGAGTGACAGGATTACAGCCTCTGCCACCACCAACCGCACCCTGTGTATCGTCCTCTTTGATTTCTCTTGTCATACTGACTTGAAGACAGCTTTTCACCATAATAATGATCTCTACTAGTGCACTAGAGAAGGTTGAAGTGAAAAAGACCTTCTCTAGTATATGTGTCAGTGTCACGAATCAAAGAATAGACTCAAATTTTTCTTTAAAAATCAAGTGTAAAAATACTTCCATCTTAAGACTGGTACCAGTGGCTCATGTCTGTAATCCTAGCTACTCAGGACGCTGAGATCTGAGGATCACTGTTGAAAGGGAGCCTGGGGAGGAAAGTCCGTGACACTCTTATCTCCAAATTAACCACCAGAAAACCAGAAATGGCACTGTTGCTCAAGTGGTAGAGGACTCACTTGAGCTGATGAGCTCAGGGACAGTGCCCAAGGTTCAGACCCAGAGTTCAAGCCCCACAACTGACCAAAAAATAATAATAATCCCATCTTAAATAAGTTCAACGACAACAATATTTGTTTTAAATGATCCCTTTGGGTGGTGACTTGACAACATGCATAATGTGAACAAGAAAGTAAACTGACAATGCTTGTCATAGTTATGAAATGTAATAGACATAATTATTGCTAGCAATATATTTTTAAAGAAAGGCAGAATTTAAGAACTAGATCACTTTGAATGGCTTTATATTGAATTTCTTTAGGAAAGATACATGATCTACCCAAAGAATCCAATACAAAACCTGAAATAAAGTAAGGGAGGGGTGCATTGGAAGGGGTGAATGAGAGCATTGAAAGGGGTGACACTGATCAAGAAGCACTGTGTTCATAAACTGTTTTGGTGAGTGACAACTCCTTTAAGAAAGTAAAAATATCTAAAAAAAAAAGAATGTTTGGATATAACAAGTTGGACAAATAAATGCATTAAATAAAGACATGGGTTTTTTTCCAGCCACTCACATTATATACAAAACTTCTCTGTGACTAATGTTTCATTTAGTTGGGGCTTGTAGGAGATTTATTTAGAAGCATGAGAAATATGTATTAAGGAAGTGGAGTTGAGCTAATGAAGGATTTTGCTGTTGTCTGTCTTATCTTATTCTAAATAACCTGACCCACTTACGCACCCACAAATATCTGCACTAATCCTTCAGGAGCCTCATTCTTCTGCCAGTTGACAATTTGCTTTAAGTACAACCTTCCCCTATTTTCCACTCCCAAAGAAAGTGTTTAAAAAGAAAATTATTGTCAAGGGGAAAAAATTCTATGGGCCTACTCCAAACCCCCAAGTTTAGACACATCCAAAGAAATAAGTCCAAAACTAACGAGCCAACTTTCTGAACAAGAAAGCCAATTGGCCAGCTCCAACAACGCCATTCTCTGTTTTGTGATCATAGTTAAAGATCCTAAGAAGGCCATGGGTTTATCATCCAAAATCTCCCTTCTGGACGTCGGTTCGTATTTCCTCATCTCCCTCCACCCTTACCTGTAGATGGGGTCCATAAAGAAGGGAGTGGGCCTTGCGTGCTGTAAGGAGCTATCTGCGGATGGTCTGGCTTCGGAGTGACTTCCCTTCTTTTCCCCAAATACGTGGTTCTTCCGGGGCTCGCTCAGCTTTGTCCCACTGGCTCTACTCCTAGTGCCCATGCTCAGATCCAGGGGCTGGTCCTGGCTGGTGGCTGGTGTGGCCGGAGGCTTGGAGGGGACTTGAGTCAAGGGCTTCTCATCTTTGCGCTTAGTGGTGAGATCAAAGGGGGATTCAGAGACTCCCTTCGGAAGTTTCTTTACTTCATTTGGTGATGGGGGTTCCATTTTCAAAGGTAACGATCTCAAGTCTCTATCAGGAAATGGGTACATGGATTGGGAGAATGCTGGAAAAAATGGGAGGGGAAACATGGAAGGGTAAGGTAAAGCTCCAACTTTTTTGTCTTGCAGCCCCACCAGTCCTGTGGAACCAAAGTATTTTTCAGCAATAGAAGCAATAGCCTTTATAGAATCATTCACAGCTCCTGACACCGCTGTGTGCTCCTCTAAAGATGGTGAGAAAATGGAATGATTGCTGTATTCTTTCTTATTATTTATTGAAGCCAGATTCTGAAGAGGGCTTCCTTTGTCTTTGAACATTTTACCATTTTCTTTACATTTCTCTTTATCACTTTCAAGGTCACTTTCCAGATCAGAGCCCGAGGTTGTCTCCAGGTCACTGCCACTTGGCGTACTGACATCATCAAGGTCACTACTCTCTGACTGGTCACTGATTTTCTCAAGGGGTCCCTCTTCAGAGGACCCCTCGGGCTGCAGCGCCACTGGCTCATTGTCCCCTACAGGTGGGTGTTTAGAGAGTGCCTTCAAAATATCTTGTGTAGCTGGTAGTGTCATGAGGGGACTTTGACTCTTGTTTGACTGTTCAGTACTTGATAGTGCTTTAACAGGAGAGCTAGCAGGTATCAAAGGAGGCCTGTGGTACAACCCGGAAGGAAACAGACCAGGGAAGCTAAAAGAAAATCCAGGAGCTGTTGGAAAGGTAAGACCAGCAGGATGTCTATTGGCGCCAAAATAGTCAGCAAGGCCCGGGTTGGCATGACTCATATTAACCATGGACGTTTTATCCATAGCTGGGTTTCCAGGAAGTGAAATGCTTTGGCCAAAGAATCCACCTGCCGCAAAATGGTTCTTGCCCTCACAAAACCTCCTGTGTTTATTTAAGGAAGACGTAGTGCTGAACATTTGTCCACAGTCTTTGCACTTGATTTGGGTTCTGCAATCAGCATGCATGCGCTTATGACGACAAAGGTTTGAAAACTGAGTATAGGATTTATGGCAGACCTCACCTGTGTACAAACAACAGAAAAGAATCTCAGGCTTTATGGCAATTGCTTCTGAATTTAGCAAGTATCACAACTGGTTCACCCCCAAAAGAACTGCACAAGTGGGAGGTACGTATCTGCGTGCTCCAAACCCACTACGCCCCTCTTCATTAGATCTCAAAGTGAGGCATCAGCCAGACCAGTGTCTGAAAGCAGCACAGATATTTCGTATCTGGAGATACCTTTTTCATCCCATTGCGTGAGGCTTCACATAATATAGGTATGGTCAAATACGTGAGGAATAGTCAAATTCCACCATGCACTGCTTCCCCCACCCTGTTACCTCACTAATAGAGTCTTAAAATTCAAAAGTCTTCCATTAAAGTAAGAAACATCCCCGGTAGTCCTTTAGAATTTTACACCACTTCATAGTTTCTGTTTTGGACACAGCAAATCAAACTCTGCCTTTCCCTCGCCCCAACATTTCACCTTTCTTACCCCTCATAGTGGGGAAAGGCCGGTGCCTTCTCTGCAGTGATCTAAGTGGTGTTGTATCATGCGCTCTCATCATTCACACATCAAAGCCACACAACAATGCACATTGTGTATTCTGAGACTTTTCTGTAACAATCATTTTCATGATTTGAGAAAGACTGACATAATTTACAATGGCTCTATTTTAAGCCTCCAAAGGAAGCTCAATTGAATGTAGCCCATCCTGCACGGCTGGTTCCCATGAACTATGATCACGTCCCCTGACTTCCGCTCACACCAGAGGCTGTGCTAACCTTCCTGCATTTATGAAACCCCCGTCCTTGGGAACCATGTCCCCTTCTTGTCCTATCTTCCTTGCTTATCTCAGGGCTTGACTTCTCCCTGTGATGGCCAGTTATGGGAAGCAGGCAGAATTCTGGAGAATGCTCTGATCCAGAAAGGACATGGCAGTGGGCGAGGCAATGAAATGTCCTTCACTAAGAATCTGCCAATACAGTAGAATGCCTGTGCCTCACACATATGCCAATAGAACTGAGTATAGCTGCAGAGCAGAGCTGAGGACACTTGAGAGCACCCCTTTTCAAAGTAATATCCATTTTACAGTGCCTCAGGATTAGATATTAGTTCTCTAAGCATTTTACTTTTTGTTTCACTTTGCTGGGGATGAGTTACTTTCTGTGTAAGCTTATTTGAATGCTTCTGTGTATGTTTAATATATGCAGAAATATGATACACCTTGCTGGTAATTGCGAAACAAATTGATTTTAAGAAATTAAACTGAAGACAGAAGACAATGTTGATTGCTTTCATATGATGCCTTTCAGTGCATAACAGGCACCAAAGTCAAGGCAAGAAGAAGTTTGTGAAACTCATGCAAATACGATTTTATAGACTTCAGTCAGTCAAAACCCAACAAAAAATGTATTATTTCACAAATAAACAGAAAATACAAATGTACTTGTTATTATTAAAGCTGCCTTCATGAATGGGACACTGTAAATTTCATGGTAATGGGAAGGGAAGAGCTAGGTGATTTCTATTCAAATAATCCTACTAGGATACATGAGCCAAAGTCTGTTTTTAAAAGTACGTACTGTTTTTCCATATGCCATACATATGTAGAGTACTTAGATTATTGGATAACACACACAAATCATATGATAGAGGGCTAGAAGATCAGACTTTACTAGATTATATTAATTCAGTTATGAGCATCAACAAGGACTACAAAATGAAGAAACATTGTTGAAATTATATTAATGCACTCACCACATGCACTATACAACATCTCTCCTCTGGGTGCTGAGAAAATGCCTTGATGAGTATTCAACCAATGTGTGAGTTTTTGAAAGGTGTGCAATTTGGGGGGCATGGAAATGCTGCTTTCTATTCTTTCTTCTTACAGCTGGTTGGTCTTAAGAAACCCCAGTTTTGCTCTGTATTGGAGTAACAGCCAGTGCACTTCACTTTCCTGGTGGGACTTTTGGTCTAGCATGTGTGCCTAGTCTGAAGATCATAGGGTTTTCAGCACTGAAAGGCTCAGCCTGGGATACCACAAGCCACCAGGCCTCTAGGTTACTCTGGTTCAATTGATATTGAAGTCTATGCTCGGCTATAATTACCTCAGTAATAAGGAATTAGCCAGCAGTTAGCGTGGCGTTTTTCTACTTATTAAACAAATTAAGAGGTATTTTGAATATATTCAGTCTATTAAAGCATGTGGTTTCTATTTGGGGAGGCTGGAGGCTCCTTTGCACTGGTTTCTCTGGGCTCAAGCTCTTTGGCACACTGTAATAAGAGACAGTTGCCATAAACACAGCAGTGGGGGTGAGTCATGGTAGGTGGCCTTCTGCTGAGAAATAAGTATCAACTCTAGGCGAACCTCCTCTCCTCCAGCCCTCTATACCAACTCCTGATCTTTAAACTCTTTTGTTCAGAAAAGTCACGTCTATTATTCATAATTATGCCATAGTTCTTGTCAGATATTATGTTTGAGGAATGCCATCTGCTATTTAAATTTACCAATAATGACTAAAAATGCATACGTGGGGAACACTTTATGCCATATGAATGGGAAGGGACAACCTATAGTGAGTGAAAGTAAAACCCTTGAATTCAACACTGAATTATAACTGCAGCGCTCAGAGACTCCAAAGATAGAATGTAGTCTGGCTTCTAAGCATAATGAATTAAAGTGGGTGAACGGAATTCCTCATAATCTATTCTCCTCTTTTTTTTCTGACCAAAATATCGGAAGACTTACCAACATCTATTTCTGAGGAGTCAGAAATAAATGAACCATTTGATAGTGTATATCTCTAGCCCTTTAAATGTTCGGGGAATTCAACGGCCTGGCATCATGACTGCCTTTTTGAGGCAAGTCTAAATGTTCTGTGTATTTTATTTCCCACCAATTCAACAAAGCTTTCCCCAGGGAGACTGGAGCACCCTTTTCTTTGTCTTCTAGTCCACTTCACTCCACCCAGGGAACAAAATAGCTGCACAAAACAGAATTCTGGTATGTGCTGGAAACAGAAAGAAAATCTCTCTTGATACTTGGAAACACAAAAGAAGACTGTGTGTCAGGGCAAAGATTGGACAGAGTTCATCTCTGGCATCTCCATATTGGCACTGAAAATTAGCTTTTCTTCTACCAGGTCCTATGGTAGGTTTCATATACCTACTGCAAAACATTAACATTTTTCAGAAAACCTTTTTCAAGGAGCTTCCAAATCAGGGGTATTGCCAAGTACTGAGCAGGATTCAATAGATTCCTATTCATATCTACATCCAAAATCAGTGTTGAAGCTTATAGCACAACACAATGAGTTCCTGTATGAATACACCTAACTGAGCACGGGGAAAAGAAAGCCTAGAGTTGCTGGTTAGATGGATAAAGAAAAGCAGATTTTCTTTATGAAACATTTCTGTATAACTTGGAGAACAGGAGAAAGTTTGAAGAAGCAAATGAGGGCCAAGTTTGACTTGACTTGAAATGTCTGAAAGTGTTCTGTGCCAAGATGCTTCAAGAAGTGGGGGTCAGAAAGCACACTGCTTTAGTGCAAGGGTAGGAGGCAGCTTGTCAGGCATCAATGGGAAAACGTTCTGCTTTCCATGTCACAGGGAACTTTGATCTGCAGCCCGTGTGTGGCAACAATGGGTAGATTAAAGAAAGTTTGACTCCATCTCTCAGCACACATACACCCAGACCATACATGCAGTCCTAAGCCGACTTGCCAGGTGGGGTTCTTCCAGTGTTTTCTGATCCCAAACAGGTTTCTAATCACTTCATCTCAGTGAGTGATATCTGTTATTTGTTGTCTTTACAAAGCCATGAACATTTACAGTGTGAGACAAATCTGGTTGTCTCGATTAAATCTTACAACCCAGGGAGCCTTCCCTTTCATTATTTAACAACTTCTCTTCTCTTTACCTGTTATTGATTTCATCTAAAAGAAAAACACCCCAGGGATTATAGACAAAACACCATGGATCTGGTTATTTCAAAAAAAAAAAAAAAAAAGGATTTTCTTGGGAGAGAGAAAATAACCCTACTATATTGGACCATAAACAGCTATTCCAGCAACCCCCACCCCCTCCTCCTTGCCCCTATTGGCCATCTCTGGCCACTTTCCTACCCACAGTGCCTTTTGGAGGAAAGACAGATGCAGGAAGGCGGCTGGGAGTGTTAAAAACAAAAACACAAAAAAACTTACAGATAAAGGGCTTCACACTGCTGTGGATGTGCTTGTGTTGTTTGAGGCCTGATGACGTGGCAAACGTTTTACCACACTCAGGGCAAGCATGGGCCCGGGCACCAACATGCTGAGAGCGAATGTGCCGCTGTAGGTTGCTAGGGTCCGTGAACACCTGCTAGGAAATGAGTACTGATTAATCCAGAAACTTAGTTCAAAGACACAATCAAGAACACCAGGGATGGTTCAAGAAGGAGTTTTGGTTTATTTATTTGTCCTCTCTCCATTCAAGAACAAAAAGAAATAAATAATATCAGATTTCCAAAGTGTAATCTCCATTGTGGTAAGAATTGACAATTAACCAGCCCTGAATGCCTAACAGAGAGTGTCAGTTGGTATTCCTGATCCCATTGACAGAAAAGACAAAAAAAAAGGAACATTGCAATCAGGGCATATTTAAGCCTCATTGCATCCCATTTACAGTGATTTGAGTTAAATAATGAAACGCTGATCATACCATTATTAAAACTTGGTTTTTGTTCTCTTCACTTTTTAATGAATAAGTATCATTGGTGGCAAAATGTGAAAGATATGGACTAAAGCACCAAAATCTATTTTTCCTAGGGGGCTGAATTCCACCAAGGCATTTCAGTAAGTTACCAGCAAACTAAAACTTATTTTAAAATACTGTATTAATAAAAAATGAAAAAGCCCCTCTAACACATCTGGGAAGAAAGCATTCCTAAAGATGAATTTCAAATGTCACAATTTCCACTTGCATAAGAAAAAGATATTCAATGCTATTAACAATTTTTGGAGACAGAAATCAACTTTAATGATGCCCAGGATATTTTTGAGTTAATTGGAAAACGTAAAACACAATCACAGTTGTAGCTTAAATGGAGCATGGTTGTATTATTCAGCACTGGTCACTAAGACAGAGGCTTTATACTTCTCAATTAGGCCCAAGTCGTGATTTATACAAGGTCTTAGATGGAAAAATCTGCAGATGTAGGAGTCTCCTATTCTTTCTGAACAGGCATTCAGAAACTTTATGCAACTTCCTGGCAAATTGCTATTAAAAGAAATCAGTAATGTGCACTGGATAAAGTTTTCATTCCCTGTAAAGCCATAAAACAACCCCAGTGCTGGCAAGTCAGTAGCGGAACCAGGAATTTACCAAGGATGTCTAACACCTAGTTCTGGAACTCACCATTAAGCCTCACTTCCTCCCTTACAAAAATAGAAGGATACTCACTAAGTGTTTTTATACACTTCACTAATGTCTTTTAGCATACAACACTCAGCCTACTTTTCTCAAGATATTTATAGTTTCCCCTCTCAAGGCTTGTTTTCATATAACATAGCAAGTGATGGATTAAGAGAGAGCAGGATGACAGAGAGAGGCCAAGTAGCCTACAAATTCACTGTACCTTGGCACAGTTTTCACATTCATAGTGCTTTCCACTGTCATGTGACATCTGGTGGCGAATCAAATTGGACTTCCAGTTGAACGCCTTGGGACACTGATCACACTTGTACTCGCGCTCTTCAGTATGGGACAGCATGTGTTTCTCCAAGCTGTGAAGAGAACAGTTGATTTCATAAGACAGGCTTACAAGAAACACATTCATAAACAGAATGCTGTGTTCTTACACATCCAACTGGCAGTGTAAGAATTTAGAGGGAATAGAGGCTGAGGTAAGAAGGAGGATAGAGAAAAACAGGCCTAAAATTACATTTTATGTTTCCTGGACTGTGTCTCCCACCAGTACCATGAAGTGGCTCTGCTTGTTGGAAATAAATGTGATAGAGTTAGCAAAGATCATCTGGCAACCAGAGCCTGATAAACAATGAATTATTTGTCCAGTTCTGGATTCCCTTCACAATTCTTACAGCACTACATATTGCTAATGTCTACTTCACTCAAGCACAAACACTCAAACAGAAAATGCCAAAGAGCACAAAGCCAGGATCCTGTCTGATATACATAATCTCTAGATGGAGAAAGTATTAATATTTCTAGCTATGTCATCATAAAAGAAAGAGCTGCGAGCTATCTATTCAAAAAGAAACTTCCAATGTTTCTGATGGGATGGATGAATAGATGGACAGATGGATGGACGGACAGATGGATGGATGGAAGGATGAATGGATGGATGGATGTTTGGGTGTTGGTACGAGTAGACGGATGGATATTTTTATTTAGATGATAACATAGACATAGATACATACATACATATAGATGTGTTTGCATACACCATACCTGGAACTTATAAGTTACAAAGGAAGGTATAAGTAAATTCACAATATAAGCCAAAGTAGGAAAAACATGGTTATGTTTCTCACAAGATAGTTTGTTTTGTTTTAATGTTTAAAATATCTCAAGATTTTTCTCTGCATGAATCTGCACAAATTTAATGAAAAGCAAATATGTATTGCTATATTATAGATGTTTTTTCTTTATTAAATACAAACACAAGTAATACTCCTACACTGCACCCAATTTTAGTAACCAGAGCTCTTTAGAGAAATCACTTATTGCAAACCAAATGCAATACATAAGATGGGTTCTGAGTGTTTCATTATTGCACAGAGCAAGAACCTTACAGATAATGTCAAAAGAATTCAATGCCAATGTGAAGAGTTACCCAGTGACCAAAGGTAGACCAAATTAAGCATCAATAGCAGTAAGTCATTTGACAGTAATAATATTCAGAACACATAGATACCCATAGAGGATACTAAGAAGCCAAATTATCATTCTGAAAGCAGAGGGGAAACATGCATGTATTGTGTTTCCTATACAAGCTGTGCTTTAGGGTGATGAAGTAGACAATGAAAATTTCTTTCCACAGAATGAAGTAGAAGAAAACAAATTGTTTAAATAGGGATCCAGGTGGATCCATTGCAACAATGAAAGGTATAAGATACCATGTCGAAAAATAAACTTTACAACTTTGGCAGGGCGGGTGGGGGGAGGGGAGTGTAGTCCTGGAGATGGGAGGGATGGTAAGGGAAAAACAAAGGAGGAGGCAACAATGCTTATAAGGAATGTACTCATTACCTTGCTCATGTAATTGTAACCCTTCTGTATGGTATTTTCATAATAAAAAATTTATTAATAAAAAAGATAAGTGATGAAAGAATGATAGAATTCATGACATTGTTTTGTAGCCCTTAAAGGATGAGTGAATGTAGGCAATCCATTGCCTACCTACTGATGGAAAGAATACACCATCCATCGAACTTTCTTCCAAACCGAAATCTCACCTAAGGCTAGGGATGTAATTTTCAGTTTATGTAGAATAGTGGGAATAGACAAAGGAGCCAGAGAAAATGCTTCAGAAAACTCTCCATTTCTTCCATAATTCTATAGTATATGATTTAGACAGAGAAGAGAAAGAGAGAACTCTACATTCAAGAATCAATTAGCTCAATTAAGACCTTTGTGCACCAAGAATACATTCCCCAGTGGTTGTGGTGTGGGACCAGGAGTATTTGCAAGAAATCTGCAGAAATTAGAAGTACTTTTCCCACACTTATTTTCTTCCCTGGCTTCCTCCCAACAGCTCTTTTCAAATTGGCACATGAACTTCGTTTGTGCCCTGTGAGTCGTTGAGTTGGAAATGCTATTCTATTAGAGCACCAATGGCAATATCTCCAATAAACAGAAGGCGCCAGGAGAAACAAGCATCAGGACCCTTAAGAAAAGGTGTATCTTTTATCCACACTACAACCCTCTGTATGTTACCAAAGTTGAAATGCTAACAAAAGAGTTAGGAGAGCTATCAGGAAGTGGAGTTAACTCTGAATGGAGTCAGGGACATCCTCCAAAGTCATTGATCTCAATTCTCACAACCTGTCCTCAGCAACTTATACAGGCAAGCCATTTTCTGATCATCCACTCCATTGTGCGGTGTGTCAAGTAAGAATCTCTGAAACCTACTGGCCAAAGCTGGGCCTGTAGGTTGAGTTTTATTCCTTGTCCGAAATCCAAAGACACAGTATAGTTTTCAGGGAGTATAATTACAACATGGTACTCGAGGAGGTGAGAGGAGGCATGGCAAAGCAAGGGCAATGTTTTTTCTTTGCTTCTTTTAATCTAGCGTAAAGACCATATTGTTCCAAAGCACTGTAAATTGCCAGCTAACCAGAGATTAAAAACAAAAAGAAGGGAAAACATGCAGGGAGGCATGAGAGAGAAGGGACAGAACAATGGTTTGGGTGATGCAGGGCAAGGTGCACTGTACTCATACACTGACATGTTGAACTGAAACATCTTTGTCCAACTACTAAAAAATAATCCAACAGAGTAAAACTTAAAAGCACATCAAAAAGAAGGGCAAAAACAAGTTCTCACAAAAGCAACTGTGGTTTGCCTTCCTAAGTACTGAATCACTTAGTCACCAGGGATGTTTCTTCACTTTTCATAGAATTTCATACTAATTTATAGAATATGGCTTGGCCTTTAGTTGTTCGTTCATTGTTTTTTCATCTTTTGTGTGTGTGTGTGTGTGTGTGTCAGTCATGGGGCTTGAACTCTGGGCCTGGGCGCTGTCCCCGAGCTCTTCAGCTCAACGTTGAGTTCTCTACCACTTGAGCCACAGCGCCACTCCCGGTTTTCAGGTGGTTAATTGGAGAGAGAAGTGTCACAGACTTCCCTGCTCGGGCTGGCTTTGAACCGAAATCCTCAGATTTCAGCCTCCTGAGTAGCTAGGATTACAGGCGTGAGCCATTTTCTCAAGATTTTAAAAGACAGAGACCAGAAGATTGTGTCATGCCAAGAAAGGAATTTCCATTTGTTGAAAAAAAAAAAATCAAGCACCTTTACAACATTGTAGCATTCAGTAAAGTGGAAAATACTCAGAGAATGGATGCAGGCTCTGCATAGTGATACCTGCAGGTGCCATCTGGAGGATCGATGTCCAGTTCCAGGAAGGCATGGTTTATATCTAGCTGGATGGTCAATTTCGGGGAGTTCACCTGTTGTTTTCCACTAAATGTTTGATAAAAAGCAACTAAACAGATGGGGCTCACTCTATAAGTAGAACTGACTCAGTTTCGAAGAAGGATAGACCAGTAGCTTTCTCTACCTACAACATGCTGCTGTACACTTTGAAAAGAAGAACTGCATTTTACATCTAGTCTGCCAAGGTTTGCATTCATAATGGTGTTCATTATTGTTGATAATAAAATTTAAAAAATATGCTTACATCCTGGCTATGGCTTTTCAATGTAAATACTATCTGTACTCATTAGGGCTTACTAGTTTCATTTGTTTTATTTAAGTGTGGTTATAGGTGACAGGGTGTAATCTTTTTGTGAGAAACTCAAATTTAACCCAACATATGTAACAGACATTCTCTATGCAGATATATACTACATGGTACAGATGAGTTTAAACGGTACTAAGAAAGCTCTTTTATTCCCTAAAAAGATTTTTCCCTTATTAACTAATGCTGAAATTTTGCAAGCCAGAAATACATTCATTTGACACAACCTTTTCAAGGAAGAGATTATACTTAATGCCTGTTCATCATGGATGCCTTTAAGGTCAATTACCAACCTATATGACATCTTTCCTATGACAGACCTAGTCAAGAGGAGAGGACTCAGGGCAGCAAATGGAGGGAAAGGAGCCATTAGGAAAGAAAAGAAACAAATGGCCAAATGAAACACATGAGTGTGAAGGCGTAACTCTGAGCAACTCACATTCTTGAGTAAGATCTGCTGCTCTGCCACCCCGCCATTGCATTACAATGATGTTCTGTTCACCTGAAACTCTAATTACACATTCCAAGGACCCTGTCTAGATTTAAAAGCCAATACAATTATTAAAATTGTGGGCTGAGAAAAAAAAAAGGATTAGATAAAAACAAAATAAAAACCTGTTTACTAGCTACTTACTACCCTGGTCATAGAGGAACATTTTGTAGCACAATTTTGACACCATTTTCAAAGGAATGCTGTGTTCTGCAATTGAAATGTTAAAGTGTTCTTAAGTTAAATTCACAGAACTGTGAAGAATAAATGAATAATTGGCACATTGTTTTCCTTTCCTAAAAAATAATTTAAAGAATTACTCCACTTAGATTCTTGTATTTCTCTATTTTTTTAACTTTTAGGAAATATAACACTCAGAAATTGTGCATTCTCTTATTCTCTTATATATGTGCAGTTTCCATAGATATTTAAACTCAATGACTCTATTATACTGTTCTGTTAAAAGGATTATTCATTTGGTGATAGTGGCTCATAGCTGTATTCTTATCTATTCAGGAGGCTGAAATCTGAGGATCAAGGCTAGAAGCCAGCCTTAGGCTGGAAAATCCTTATGACTCTTATCTCCATTTAGCCACCAAAAGGCTAGAAGTGGAGTTGTAGCTCAAGTAGTAGAGTGTTAGCCTTGAGCAAAAAATAGCTATGGGACAGCATCCAGGCCTTGAGGTTCAAACCCTAGGGCTGTCACACACACACACAAATTATCCATCTTAATTGAATGAGTACTAGATTCAATCTTTTTAAAATCATCTAAGTGTAGTTAGCTATTGTTTTAGTGTTTCATGACATATGACTAATTCATCCCCCCCCTCCACCGCACTGTGGAATTTTTCCATTAAATCATCATTCTCTTAAAGTTAAGACTTCCAAATAACACAAATTAAATAATAATATGTATAGCCCAAGTGGTAGCACACTGGCCTAGCATGCACAAGGTACTAAATAAATAAATAAATAAATAAATAAATAAATAAATTCCTGTCTTCTTCTTGACAACTACATAATAATTCCAACTTCCCCGTAAATACTTTACAAATGTCCCTTCCGAGGGGTTGGGGACTTTCCAATAATATCCCTAGCATGTCTGGCTAGTTCATTGCTGCTCCGAATTTCTCAACTGAGGACATTCTCAAAATACAGTAAAACATTTTCTTGCAGAGTAAATCCACCAGGTTTGTGGTACCCTATGCCATCTCTAACCTTTGTGAGTCGGGGAAGGCCTGGTCACATTCCTTACACTCCTGGATGGCGTGTATCTCTCGGAGCTCATTCTCACTTTCCAGTTTCTGTTGGAAGTCCTCTTCCACCATGGAGAATGCGGAGTGAGGCGTGCTGCACGGGAACTTTTGGTGGTCTGCTAGTTCAGCCTTGGATTCAAAGAGCTGGTCACAGTCCTCACACCGATACTGCCGTTCTTCTGTGAAAACAATTTTGGTGTTACTAGTATTTCAGTGGTCTGCTGCCATAAGCCAGATATCTTATTGAGATACACAAGACATAATTGGAATTATTATCAGTCCTTCAGACAATCAATTTTAACATGGAGAGGAGTAAAATATGTAAATACAGAATCCAGAAGAATAACTAAACATTTATTGTGGCTATAGTACACCCTTCTGATCAAATTAGATGATTAAATCTTTCTAGGTTTGGAGAACACTGACAGTAACAATGTTCATATATTGATCATCATTGTTTTCCCAAGCCAGGACATGGATGGCCACTATTCCTTAAAACCCAAGTATGGGAAATGGTGGGTCTGATGTGTAACCCAAGTTTCAATAAAGGCTCAGAGAAGTTAGCTAATCAGTCAAGAAGTGTAGATCCAACAAGTTCCCATCAGAATTTGAACCTTTTTCTGCCCCACTCACTCCTTTCTAGGCCAATGCCATATTACATGGTGGGTATAGGCATCACTCAGACGCTACCTGAACCCGCTTAAGCCTGTTACTCTCAGTAAACTTGGCTATACATCAATATCCAACATCACTTAGAATGGAGCACAGAATATTTTTATTCCCCTTCAGGGTTAATTTATGACTCCAGGGCCAGTGCTCATGGACACAGCTTTGTTAAGTAGTAAGCATACCATGAATTTGTGTTTTAGATCAGTAAGTGAGTGTGAGTAAATGAACTTGATAGAAACTAGAGATAGTGGTATTATTGGGAGTCAGGTAGGGATGGTATTGTTTCTACCTTTTTCTTTTCTCATAAGCTGCTATGAGGCCACTCTGTACAGGTCACATAGATAGAGCCACAGAAAACTTAAAAACAGCTCATGATGCTGAAAAGCACCCATAGCAGACCATGTGACACAGGTGCTGTTTTGTACACTGGAGTCAAGGAAGAGGTTACTGCTCAGTTATTCATTGACTATATGTTGTTGAGGAAATATTTTAGTCATCTACTAAATATCAGACTCTTTGCTAGGGAAATATTCAAGAAACTCAAGGGGATACACATATAAATTAAAAACACTGTATTTTATGATAGATGCATGCAAAAAAATACCCAAGAGAATTCCAGAGTTTATGTCTGACCCAGGTAATCTGGGGACAAATGGTTTAGAACAGGTTTTAGCGTGAGTAAGAATCAGCTAGATGACGTGAAATGGGTGTGGGGAATGGAAATAGCATAGACTAGTGATGGAGACAAGAAAGGAAAGACAACGTTAGAAAGTGAACAATGGAAATCCACTGAGCCTGAATAAAGATGATAAAAAGGAAACCCACGGAAAGCTGATGAGAAGTAGGAGGGAAGTGAGGAGTCCATCTGATTAAAATAATGTGCACCACAAAGGTGTGAAATACCATGGTGAAACCCCTTTAAGCAATTAGTATACACCAAAATATAAAATCAATGAGAGGATGTAAAACAAGTTCTGTGATAGGGGCTATTGGTAGAAAGGAGGAGGGCAAACAGAGGTGAAGGAAGGTGAATATGATCAAAATACTTTCCATATATGTGTGAAGATGTAAGAATGAAACTGTTGAGTTTTGCTTTGAGAAGGTAGGGCTGAAGGTAAGTGATGGACAGGGGAGTCTGATGTACATCTTATGTATATATGCACATATATGTCCATATATATGGACATCTTTGTACAATTAAAATGAAGAACATGGCACAGTTATGGAAAGGGAGAACTGTAGTAAAGCACGATGGGAGATTATAGGGGGCATGAAATGAGGGGTGGAAATGAAATCAGAGAGGGTGCCAAGTCATGAGGGTTTTTTTTTAGGTTCATGTTTAGAGGAAATAGAAAGTCACTGAAAGTTGGAAAGTTAGGATGTGTTAAGGATTGGATTTTAGAATAGTTGTAGTATGACAAGCCAGTAGAGAGGCTTTACTGGGCCCTGAGGACATTTAAGACACTGGTCTAGTTTGAAGTAGACCAGTAACAGTGGGGCTAACCCATAAAGAAATTAGTACATACATTCCATCACTTGTCAACCTTCCATGTAGATAGGTAAAGAAGAGGGGGTATTCTAAAATGTATCATCTCAGCTCTGCAAACAGAAATCTCAGGGATATTTACCAGTTAGAAGAAGCATTTTCTACAGTCTGTGACAGTTTTTATACACTTGAGATATATATTTAGATCTCAGCCAAAGTCCAAACAAAAACAGAACTTCCAGACCACTGGATACAAGGCAAAGAGACAAGGTAGAGACAGCGAAGACCTAGCTGTGAAGAATAATTTCCACAGCCAATGAATGGATAAAAATAAAAGTGTGGTACTTACACAATGGCATATTATTCTGCAATAAAGGAGAATTAAATTATACAGTAAAATGTATGGAATTGGAGATTATCATGTTGTCCAAGGTAAGCCAAGCTCAGAAAAAAATGTGCTCATACCTAGAGTCTAGACCTAAAATATAATAATAATAATAATAATAGTAGTAGTAGTAACATCATTGAAAAGGGGAGACTATTCGGGAGTATGATCAATGGGACAGGATGGGAAAAAGCAAAGCGTGATAGAAAGTAAATAAAATAGAGGTGTATTATATATTATGAAAATAGCATTAGTGAAACCCACTAAAATCTGTTAAAAATGAGAGAGAATAAAAAAGGTGATTATCAAAGAGTAATATAGATAATTTGATCAAAGTACACTGTGGCTCTCTGTAACTATCACAATAAAATTACTTTGCACCATTAGTTTATGCTTATAAAAATGTTTTAGAAAAGACTACTGACTCTACCACTTATTAACTATCCAGTCTTACTAATTAATTTAGTCTGAGTATAATTCCCCTCTCATAGGTTTTTAACCATTTGTACAAGACTAAAGGAGACAATACAGAGAAAATATATGAGATGCAGTGTGGAATGTGTGTGTATGTGGTGTCTCTTTTCTCATGGTAAATCTTAGAAGTAAAAAGTTTAAATACCATTTAAAAATACAATATATGGCCGATTATCATTTGATAGCCTATGGACATGACACACTGAAAACAAGAAGCAACAAATAGGGGCTGGGAAGGTGGCTCAGTGGTACAGTGCTTGCCTGGCATGCATGAGGCTCTGGGTTCGATTCCTCAGCACCATATAAGCAGAAAAAGCCAGAAGTGGAGCTATGGCTCAAGCGGTAGACTCTAGCCTTGAGCTGAAGAGCTTAAGGACAGCACCCAAGGCCAGAGTTAAGGTCCCATGACCAAAAAAAAAAAAAAAAAAAAAAGCAGCAATGAATAGTTGAAGAATGTTTTAAAGGGAGGTAATTTATGAATGGTAGCCCCTAAAAGAGAAATAGTCTCTTCTGTGTAGGCCTTATGTGACTAGCAAATTAATCATCTCAAAAACTGTGTTCAAGCATTTTAGATCTCATGCTCACAGAGGAACTACGCATTACAGATTATATTATTATCATTAATGACCCCCACCCTACCCCGGTACCAGTTCCCAATGCATCCACTCTTCCAGGCTAAGAACTCAGGTTTCTAAGTGAGAGTTTCCAAAATAAGAAGGAAAACCAACAGATATCCAGTTGGTATAACCTATAAAGAGGCAGAATATTTCATAGGACATGGAAAAATATTCAAATAAAGATGGCCAGTCAATAATAACCATTTCCTTCACAGGAGACAGAAGCAAAAGCTCAGCTCCCTTCCTTCTAGAATGTGGAAACCTGATCTCTCCTGTAGTCTGGGACCGGCTACTCTTTCCAACCACAAAATACTCTAAGGCCACCACTCCATGATGTCGAATCAAATCGGATTATATTAAAAGAGAAATAAGAAAAAGAAAATATATTAAATTTTCAGCTCAATGATACTCTTGCATTAACAACACAAGCAGAGTTTTCCAGTCATCTGAACTGAACAGTTGTCACTAATCATTACTGTTTATTGCTCCTTGCACTTCTTTTGATTTAGAATAAGCTGTAGCAAAGATCTGATTCTAAAATTTCCTCATCTGTACTTTTTTCTCAGTGCCTTCCTTTGCCCCTCCCATAGAGTCACAATGGCTTGAATTTTACTCACTTCACCCAGCAACAGAGCAATAGATGGGAGAAACATCTGCTAGATTTAGGAAAACTCAAAGCCAAGCTCTCTGAGATAATTCTTACACAACAGTCCATAGCGTAGACAGAAGTCTTAAGGTGATGTTTCCATTCACATATTTCAAATTCCTCAACACCTGCTCTTCAGGGAAGAACTCTGATTACTTTACCTTGTCCATATTAGCCAGTGGTCAGTACAGGCACATGGACCCTCCCAAGAGAACAGATTCCTCAAAAATGATGTTGAGGGTCTCACTCCTGCCGTCCTAGCTACTCAGGAAGAAGGCAGAGAGCTGAGGATTATAGAGCTGAGGATTATAGTTCAAAGCCAGTCTGGACAAGAAAGTTTTTAAGACTCTTATCTCCAATTAACCAGCAAAAAGCCAGAAACGGAACTATAGCTCAAGTAGTAAGAGCACCAGCCTGGAGCAAAAAAAAAAAAAAAAAAAAAAAAGCCGACCAAAAACATGAGGCCTTGAGTTCAAGCCCTAGTACCAACACCCAAAAAGATAAAATAATAATCATCATCATGCTGAAAGCTCTTGATAAAGAAACACCAGCCCCTTCCAGATGTTGTGCCCCAGCCACCCAAGGCAGGTGGCTGGAGGGCACTGGAGGGCGTGGCACTCACCGTGGATGTGGGGCGCCATGGTTTCATGGGAATAGTCCTCACTCTTCATGAACAGCAGGAGTTCTTCCCCAGGTGCGATGTCTGCCACTACTCTATAGAATATCTTCAAGGACCAAAAGGGCAGAAGGCAGGGAAAAGACACAGAGAAGGGACTATTAGCAAAAGGCAGGATACGCGCGCATGTGCGCGCGGACACACACACACACACACACACACACATAGCTGTACACGTTATTCTTATCTCAATAAACAAGACTCCTTGTATTTTTTAATCAAATGCATCGATCATTTTGGTTTCAAGCACTCAAAAACAACCCTCCCTAAGAAACAGAAAGCTATGACTCTTACACCAGTTCATAAATCTTTTCCAAATCCTACTCACTTCACAAATCACATTTTCTTGCTAGCAGGCTTGCTGTGTCACATTTAGCCTGTGTAATGTTTAACGAAGAACTTTCCCTTCTCTGAATTCCTCCAAGCACCGAGGGAACCACCCACACAGAGCCGAGTCCTGTCTTGTAATAGCCAGAAATAGGTCAGCTCACCTTGAGCTGCCCTCTCTGAGCAAGATAGCAAAAGTAAGACCTTCTCAATAAGGTGCTGTAAAGGGCACATGACGTAAGAAACAGGCCAGCTCTCCAGAGAACAGAGTCATAGGAGAAGCTTGCCTTCTAAACACGAAAGCCCTCTTCCACCAGTCAGAGGGGGGGCTGGCATACCTTGGTCTTGGCCTTCCTTCCTTCCCTGATGGCCACTCTTTGAAAGCAAGCTTTATACCTCTAATTGATTTTTTTATCAGGCTGGGGTAGGTGACAGTGCTTATTTCCTTGCTTTCTAGCAACGTGCTCATGAGAGAAAGGATCGAATCCACCTGTTACTGACTGGAAGGCAGGAAAGCAAGATGGAAAAAAACCCCAACCTGAGATTTCCAAGAGCTGCTACAGATTCTGATGCAGCTCAGTGACTTGGTCAATCACTACCCAGTACCCAAGCCTGGGCACTAGTCTCTTCAGTGACAAAAGCATTTCAGCATAAGATTCTTCAAGATGTTTATTCCTTGTGCTCAACAATAGTCTTAGGGTTTTTTTTTTTTTATTGTATACGAAGATTATTAAACAACAATTCCACAACCAGATAAAAAAGTTTTTGGAAGAGTAAAGTTGTAGAATTAACTAATGAAAATGAGAACCATTACTTTCTGCCACAGTATCTTTGTAAAAACTTCCCAATATTTGGAGAAAGAGACTTCTTTCCTCACACAGTGTCACCAGCGAACGGTTTTTATTCTCTCCCAATCCAACCAGAGTTAGCAAGCAAGGGATTGTATGTGGGAGAGAGAAGGGGGAAGAAAGGAAGGAAAGAAGGAAGGAAGGAAGGAAAGAAGGAAGGAAGGAGAGAAGGAAGGAAGGAAGGGAGGGGAGGGAGGGAGGAAGGGAGGGGAGGGAGGGAGGGAGGGAAAAAGAGAGAGGGAGAATGAAGGAAGGGAGGGAGAGAAGGAAGAAAGGAAGACAGAGCCAGGTTCTAAACACCTGGGTATACACACACACACACACACACACACACACACACACACACACACACACATATACTCATCCCTCCCCTACCACACACACACCAGCAGAAACAAGACAAAATGAGGAGAAAAAATCATGCATTAGAAACATAACCAAGGAAAGAAAGGGTTGCTTCTTAACTACAATGTCTCATGATGTTAGCTTGGTATTTCAAATTGAGAAAAGCTGATCTATGAATAACTTAGAAAATCAGCAGAAATGCTCATACTTTATGTCTATTTGTCTATTTGTTTGTTTTCTGAAAGGCTGAAGACATTAAATGTAAGTATGTGCCCCTTTTACTCCAGTAGGTGGCTCTAAAGTCCAATTGTTTATTTTTCTATAAAGAAACCAGAGCACAAAATTGTGCTAAATTTGAAAAATACCTCCAGGAGAAATGTGTTCTTCTTAGTTTCTTTCTTGTCATAATGAATTAATTCTTTTTCATCCAATAATACTTTAACTAACCAACGTTCCTTTAGAGAATGCAATGTAAATCTTAAAAGTATTAGTCTACCATGTTGTAATATAACCTTGGATTCTTTGTATCTATCTAAAGATAGAATCCAGACCATCAGGAAAATTGTTCATTATGTGCTGCTCTTACGAACAAAACAAAACAAAATCTTCACATCCTCACTTTGGAGATGCACAAGTAGAAATAGTCCTGCCCCAAAAGTTAACAGATTAAAGAAAAATATTCATCATGCTTAAGTTTCCTTTTTCCCCTAAACCTTCCAGTTAAATACTTATTGAACGAAATGAAATACTGTTTTATTCCACAGTTCTATTTCCCTTTAGAAAACAATAGACTGCTCTCAACAGTTTTGAATCACCTCTTTTTTTTTTTTGGCATCTCTTACAAGGCTTAACTTATTAGTTTCCTTTCCAACAACATGTTGACATTTGAATTGTGACATATTAGAACTTTTCGGTGGCTTCTCGGAAATAGTGAGGTTAGAGACACAATGGCCTGCGAGACAGTAAAGCAGCTGTAATTGTCTGTTGGAAAATGCTTAGACACACATTCCAGATCGTTTTAAGAAAGTATTATGATATCATTATTTCTTGGTAGTTCACTATTAATCACGTCTCTTTTAATTCCATTTTAGATTTATTCAATCCAGTGTGAACAGTCCAAGGAACAAAAGAAAATGATGGATACATGGTACCTATATATTATAAAGACAATTCTCTTTGCAGGGACATAGATCACTGCTGTAATTTCCCTGTAAGTGTCCAGATTGTCATATGAAGAATATTGAGTGCATAAAAATAAAAGACACGGAACAGTGTTGATGTTGGCTTTATTTACTGAAGGTAAAAGGTGACATTCCAAGCCCAGAAAGGCAAGGCAAAGCAGACTGGATCACCCTTAAGTTCAGGGGGTTCTTTTCGATTTTAAGTGAGTTTTTATGGTGCTCATGAAACTGAGGTTTGGGAAAAAAAAAAAAAACTGGCAAGTGCCAGACATAATGAGGACAGCTTCTGGGCATGTTTCTCCAATAGAATAAGAATGTGCCTGCAAGTCCTGTCTACTTCACCCTTATAGATTGACTCCCATACTCAAGGTGTTTCTACCAGTGTGATTCCCAGTACCTCTCACTCCTTAGGACCTTAAAAACGAAGTGAAATTATGTTGATTATAGCCATCCAAAGGTATAATTTGAATATTTGAATCCAGAAATGCTTACATAGTAATTTATTTTGCTTTCAAACAATATAAATACACTAACACGTTTTGAAAGGAATGACTAAAGCTAAAATTCAAAAAAAAATTTTTTTTTTTGCACCAGAACAATTCTATAGGGTAATGATAGGATGTGATACTGAGAAACTAAATCTTTCAGAAAAGATTGTGACTATATTTTTATGTTATAAAAGAGAACTTTCAGTAAATAAAAGTATCACCAAAAAGAAGTCTTAGGAAGATGTTTCTCTCAGATCTTAGCAAAACAGATCTACTTAGAAAAATAGATCTTAAACATTGATCTATTCCCCAAATCTCAACTGTGTAACAAATCCTATAAATCACATGTTAGCTGAGTGATGGACCAGAAGCAAGACACACTACTAATATAACCTCTCTGATTTTTGTATTGGTAAAAACTGGAGAAGAGACAATTATTCTGTTAAATTCCATGAAAGAGTTAACAAGCCTCCTTTGCCATCAGTGTTCTGTGGAAAAGTTATCTAGATCCAAAATTAAAATGTTGTGAAACTGGTATTTTGTGCTGAATTTAAATGGAGTATATAAAGGCACAAAAATCTCAAACACTTGGTGAAAAGTCTGAATCGATAAAGGAGTTACTGATTTATTACTTTGCTGTCTTGAAATAGTCTTGTAGGAAAAAAAAACAACAATTCAGTTACCACCGGTATAATGTTAAAGATCAGGAGAGAAGGTCCTTATAGTATAAGAAAATAGGATTATGTATAGTTTGTTTTTTAAAGAAAATTATTAAATAACTTTAATGAGTTAACTCCTCCAGGATTTTATATTTGGTGCTAAACCTGAAATCCAGAAATACAACATGTTATGAGCGAGTACTGACTCTCCATACATTTGGACATTTGACAGTTGAAATAGCCTTCTTATTTTATCACATAAAATTAATTTTCTAATCTTTTCATGAATTCTTTTTTACTTTTCCAGAAAGTACATGTTTTTATCTTTAGAGCATGAATATTATATTTTGATATTTATACATCTTAATTTTTGAGTACTTTAATAGTACATGTTCTAATAAGAGATCTTTTGCATCGTTTTTATTTATATGATGTGTTACTATTTGGTAAAATTCCAATTTAAAAATCTTAATCATTTGAGTCATTATAAACTGGTGTTAGAAACCACAAAGTTGCTCACTTTTAGACTGGTGAAATATACAACCTAATGTATAAAATTAATAGATGTAGATAGGAACTTAATATTCCTAATATCCCTTAATATTCCATGTGCTGGTCCTGGGGTGTGAACTTAAGGCCTGGGAAATGTCCCTGAGCACTCTACTATTTGAAGTACAGCTCCATTTCCAGCTTTTTTAAAGTAGTTTATTGGAGATAAGAGATTCACAGAGTTTCCTGCCTAGGCTGGCTTTGAGGCTGTTCCTCAGATCTCAGCCTCCTGAGTAGCTAGAATTAATAGGTGTGAGCCACTGGTACCTGGCATCCCTGAGCTTTTTGGCTCAAGGCTAGCACTCTACCAGCTAAGCCACAGCTCCACTTCTGGCTTTTTTGGTGGTTAATTGTAGAAAAGAGTCCTAGACAAGCTTTAAACTGCAATCCTCAGATCTCAGCCTCTTGAGTAGCTAGGATCACAGGCCTGATCCACTAGCACTGGGCTCTAAATGTAATTTTTATACTTAATTCATTTTAATCAAACCCTGAAACTAGCTCCAAGTATAAAAACAATATCCATCCTGTTAATACAAGGCTGAGCTAGGGATAGACGGCAATATTGATAGAGATTTGAAACAGCTTATTTTTCACTTCCAAAGGGAACATTTTCATGCAATGTTACATATAAATACATATGTGCTAGGATATC